TAAATAAATACTTTCAATTTATTCGCCCATTCTTTCTGCTAATGTTAACATTAATGTAATTAACAAATTCTTTTTATTTTTCTTTTTTATTCTTTGTTTTTAAATTTACGTCTTTAATTGAAAAAAGCTTTTTTAATTTAACTAATGAAAGTTTTTCTGTTCCTAATTTATTCATAATTTTTTTCAAATTTAGAACTTTATTGATTAAATGGAAATCTTTTTCATCACTTTAGATGAAAGAAATAAATCTTTATCAGTTATCATTTAAAATTTCATTTTAAATTATCTTATCAAATTACTTTGCAACAAGTGATACATTAATTTACTATTAAACTAATTAAATATAATTAATTTCATCTTAGTAACTATTAATTGTGAAAGATAAAAGCATTCCGTGATTTGTTGCTGTCATTTTTGATTAATTTCTTCTTTTTAAATTAACTTTTTAGATTATTCATATTTAATTGAATCATACCTTTTTGCTAATTGATTATTTTTCACTTCCTATATTCAGGTAATCCAATAAATGAATTTTACCAAAATTTCAATTCCATATTAAATATCTTTTATTCTCTGAAAAAAAAAGCTATACTAAGTTTTAATTACCAGTATTGGTATATCAGAAGTTTTATTATAAATAATTATTTGTAATGAAACCAAAATTCCAATTCCAATTTCGAGAAACCAAAATTCCGATTTCAATTCTAACAAACCAAAATTCCAATTCCAATTCTTAGAACCCAAAATTTCAATTCCAATTCCAAGGAATCAATTTCAACTCCAAGAAACCGAAATTCTAATTCCAATTTCAAGAAGCCAAAATTCCAATTTCAATTTCAATTCCAGGAAAAAAAAAAGCATGTTTTTTAATACAATGCAATGAATTTTAGAAATTGAATCTAAATGTAAGCAAATATATCACTCATTCACAAATACATAATGTCGGAAATGGAAAATGGATATTAGTAGAGAAAAAAAATAGTAAATGAAAAACATATCATATTCTTTTTCATTTCTGTTGCATGTTTTTATCAATGATAATTTTATCAGTCATTAACTTCCGCCACTCATTTATTATCATTTTTCTTTGTTAGTCATCATTTATTTACGAAAAGAAAAATTTAGTCATGTGGAAAAATGTATTGATGAGAAATGAGTGGAAAATTTTCCACATTTTTCATCATTCCTTCTCAACATTTTCAACTTTTTTCCTTTTAATTGGAATAATTTCTTTCGAAGTTATAACTATATGAAGTTTTAATTTAAAACAATAATTTATGCTTTATAGAGATTTAATTTAATTTCATTACAATGATTTCTAATATTTACGAGTATAGGAATTTGATTTAATTTAATTTCATTACAATGATTTCTAAGCTATATGAATAAAGGAATTTAATTTGATTTAATTTCATTACAATGATTTCTAAGTTATTACGAGTGTAGGAATTTAATTTAATTCATTACAATGATTTCTGAGCATACCAATATAGGAATTTGATTTAATTTAGTATCATTACAATGATTTCTAAGCTATATGAGTATAGGAATTATTGATTTTAATTTAATTTATTACAATGATTTCTAAATTATACGAATATAGTAGTTCGATTAATTATTATGCAAAGTTATTTTTAGATGATATAGCAATGAATGGTATGATAGATTTATGTATGCTAATTTTTGAATAATTTATTACATATATTTTAATAAATGTACATCGGCAGAACTTTTAATATATGCAAAACTATATGTATATATAAAATTCATATATGCAAATCAACTAAATAAAATTCAAATAATAAAACTGTAAAGTTTCAATTTTTCAAAATAGTAAAGTTAGCAAAGTTTTGATATTCCAATTATTTAATAGGTCATAAAACAAATAGTTTTTTATTTAACTAAAAGTTAAGTTCATTATCATCATAGTAATCTTAATGCTGATAACATCATACATCATATTTATACAAAAACAAATTTATAAATATTGTCCCAATGAAATATATTCAATCAATTGTTCTCATTAAATAAACAAATCTCAATGAATATGATAATAGTTTTAGGAATAAATTAAACCATAGAATAATTTGTTTAGGAATAATTAATTTTCATAAATAATTAGCTTATATAAAATTTAAATATATTATCGTTAAAGTACACTCAATTTCGTAATGAAAATTAAAATTCATATAATTTTAATATACCGTTTAATTATATTCGCTACATATATTTCAATTCCATTCCCTATATAGATTTAATAATTCAATTCCATTTCTTATATCGATTTAATAATTCAATTCCATTTCTTATATCGATTTAATAATTCAATTTCATTTCTTATCCAAATTCAATTTAATTTTAAATTAATATATCACCTGCAATTTAAAATAAATTAATAATGTTTTATTTCGATAAATAAAAATAGGAAAGAATATTAGTCCAAAATAGCAATAGCTTATGCATAGGCAATTATTCAATTTAATAAACCAATAAGAATGGCCAATAATAAATCAAAATGGAATGGATAAACATTAAAAGCTAATGAAGAGAGAATGAATGCTCGAATAAATCATTTAAAATTTTTGTTTTTCTTTTTCCCATTAACTTTTAATTTCAGATTTAAAAATTTAAAAGTATACGTGTATATTATATATATTGAAAGTATAATGTGTATATTTTAAAAGTATACGTGTATATTATATATTTATATATTTATATATGTATATTGGATCGTTATATACGTGCAATTTTTCTTTTTACTGAAATAAGTATTTCAGTATTAAATAGGCTATTTCATTGTGATAGTTATTAATGATAACTGTCCATTTATTTATATTGTAAAATTATATGTCAATTTAGGATTGAAATTTAATCATTAAATGCGTTCTATTAGGATAATTCATTCTTCAGAATTCTATCAGGTGATATAAATGAAATAGAAATCATCTTAATGATTTAATTCTTAATAAACTATAAATGCAACAATAGAATAATATCATTAATGAAATTGAAAATCGCTAATTTTCAATCTACATTTTATTAATTAAATTCAATATTTTTAATCTATCAGTAGTAATAATAATGATAATAATAACAGTCATAATAATAATAATCGCATTTTACAATTGATTAATAGTAAACTATTTATTTGTGAACGATATGCATGAATTTTTTTATATTTTACTTTTATTTTTGATAATTTAATTAACTGAATTAATAATGATAATAATGATAGTAATAATAGTAATAATAATAATAATAATAGTAATAATAGTAATCACATTCCATAATTCGTTAACAATAAACTATTTACTAATGAACGATTTGCATAAATTTTTTTTACTTTTATTATTGATAATTTAATCAACCGAATGATTGATTAAATAACAATTTTATCTAATCCACTGATAGACGATAATTAGCTTATTCTAACAAATATTTAATTAAATTTAAAAGAGAAAAAATTTTGTTACAATTTTTATGCATTTGAAATAATCTGTAAGGGAAATTTGCTTAAAATTTTTAAGATTTTTATAAATACTTAAAAACTTCATTTTTCTTCGTTGCTTTTTTAGTTAATTAATTAATTAATTAATTTAATTTCGATTATAATTTTGAAAGAGAGAGAAAGAGAGAAGTAAGAGAAAAAAAGAAAAAAAATGTGACTAATTTTTAAACTCATTTTTCTTGTTTTATTTTTAGTTCTCAATTTTATATTATACATATATAGTTAGTATAAATATATTATATATATATAGTTAGTATAAACATTTGAGAATGGCAAAAATATTTCTCTTTCATCATTTCGCAATTATATCCAGCTTCTTTTTTAATCAATTCGCAACAACCGGAAATAGCTTTTTCTGAAATAATCCCTTTTTCGAACTCTCAAATAGAAGAATCAAGAAAGATAGAGAGAGGGGAAGGGAAGGGAACGGAAGGGAAGGAAGAAAGAGAGAGGTAAGAGAATGAAAAAGAAAGAGTAACAAAGAGTAAATGATAACAAAATGAGAAATGTACAAAAAATAAAAAGAAAAAAGGAGAGGAAGAGAGAGAGAGGATGAATGGATGGAAGAGAAAGAAAAAGAGTAATGTGTTCCAGCTGTGAGTAACCCATCCCATACTTCTTCTTACCATAACACCCACGCACCTCTCTTCCTCATTTCATTTATTCGAAATGTTGGTTGAGTAAGATTAGTAATAGGACGTTGTGAAATATTTGATATCTTATGTGAAGTTTGATTTATTATCCTTATTGCTATTGCTCTTTTCAACCTGATTTAACCTGTAATTAATACCTGAAATATATATAATTTTGAGATTAACGAAAAATTTTCGCAAAAATTGAAGAAAAAGACAAAAAAGCGGAAATGTTAAATTTTAATTTATCATAATTTTTTTTTTTGTTATGTATTTATATTTTTGCGCTAAATATTTATCATTTGCAGGATTTGATCTTTCATTTGCTCTTATATTAATTAATGTTTGCTTATTATTTATTAACCAATATTTTTTATGAATTTCTATTTAAACAAAATTAGAGGAAAAAAAAGGTAGGGTTTTTTTTTTTGTTTGCAATAATGCATTGTTAAAATATTTTTAGATTACAATTAGAAATTAATGAAATATTTATATGTGTGTGTATGTACGGAGAGGAAGCAAGAGATGAACTAATAACTGAGAGAGAATTATTAGGAGATATGTTGAAATTGGTAAGATTTAAGGGAAAGAAAGAGGGATAAGCTTCGGGTCAGACAATGAGAAGAAAAAGGTTAGCGAAGTATATTTTAAATAAATGTTAGAAATAGCATTTGACATAGTATTTGAGAGAAGCTACTATTTCATCAGCTCATTGATAATTGGATTTATCACTAAATGACATTTTTAAGTGTAATACATATACTTTTCAGTTCTATATGATTGATGGGGATGAATAAATAATCACTTATTCATTTTATTCAATCGACCAGTTATTCAAATCATTCAGTAATTTAATTATTATGGATATTATTACAAGTCGTGCGGTACCCATGCGATTGTTTGCCAATTGGGAAACGGATCGAACAATTGCTTGTGCCGCACAACGGTTACTATTTTTCTTTCTCGTCTTATTACTAATTAATTAGTTAAAATAGTTTAAATTTAATTTACCTTTTTTTCTTGCTAAGAAAGAATATTGGTTGCATTACATATCTACCGATACCTACATTTGCTATATTTCGCAAATATTTTCAGAATGTTTTCAATGGCTTTAACTCGTTTAGTGTTAAATGCATTTTTTGGAAATCAGTCCACGGTTGTCATTACTGTTAAATTACACGTAAGTTTTAAAATTTTTGGACTTCTACATTCTTTCTTTTATTCTCTTTCTCGTTGGCTTTATGAGATGTGATTACCACCAGTGGCACAGTTTTGATAAAAATAAATATAATTATAGATTGAAATTTTATTGCATGTTTCATTTGTTTTTGGATAAATCTGGCTGAGTGAAAGTGTTTTATAACCAAAAATAACGAAAAGAGTTTCTAACTGCAAAAGAAATAGTTATTTGAAAAACTGAAATGTATAAAAAATAAGTATTAATTATAAATCTTCAGCATTTTTGTAATTTTAGGGTTCGAAACGATCTCTACGTAGTAATGATTTTTTAATTCAGTCCAGAAATGGCAGAGTTGATATAGATTTAAATATATCATTCACAATACAGGTATTTTAATTAAATTTCAAATTTCAATGTTATATAATTCTGACTTCCTTGATATCTCCATTTTCAGCCCATTTGTTTAAAATTCTATTCAAAAAATTCAAATAATTTTTAATCGGAAGACATAGTCTTTTCTTTTCAATGTGTTTTGAATTTTTCATAGTTTCATTTTGTTCCATTTGCGTGCAAATATATTGCTTCTTTATATGTAATTTTATTCTTTCGATAGTGTTATGTTTAAGTTATTGATGATTGATATCGCCACAAATAATAAAAAACTTTTTTTAAGTACTCACATTTCTTAAAGAGAAAAGGAAATATCTTACATATATTGCTTCAAAGACGCAAACGCTATAAAAATCGGCCAATTTTGGGTTATAAGACGCTTGCTATTGGTAAACTTTTTTTAATAGAATATTACTCATCTTTGTTTAATGAAACTTCTTTGCAATTTATTTGTGTCCATTTCTTTGAATATTATTCAATTATTTAACATGAATTTGAAGGTTTTCAAATTCTCTCTAAAAATGTTAATTTTTGATTTAATTTTGTTTTGCAGGTACAATTAATTTATCGGAAGTGCTGCAAAATTGTTCTGTTCATGAGATTGCACTTTTTGATCCGATCGTAGAAAAAGAAATACAAAATGTCAACCGTGAGTTACCTTAATCTATGGGACATAATTATTAATATAATTGATAATAGAATTTCGAATGTTTTATTGCACGGCAAGCAAGAATCATGATGTTTACTTATTTGGACATAGAATAATATTTGCACAACTATTAAGTATTCATAATTATTTATACATTTACGTACGTTTGTTTTGTGTCGTATAAGCACGTTCTTGTTATCATATGACTGCATCAAGGACATTGTTGTTAAAACATCGCATGTAGAAAAATGGTACTATAACTTTTTAAGTCACTGTTATTCTTGTCGACTTGACTTTCATTGGAAAACGAGGGAGGTAACCATCTTTATTTCCGGCCATATTATGTTTTGTGTTTCGTATTGAGAATTTCGAATCTCTAATGACTGGTAAGACATTGTTAATAAAATGGAATTACAGAAGATCTGGAATCCTTAGTTTAAATTAATCATTGTTTTCACTGTTTGATCATTTGCAGCGATGGGACGACTTGTAATTGGATCTTGTCAAAGTCAACCATTTGAAACTCAAAATGAAATGAGTGTAAGAAGGATCAAAGAAAAGGGATTAGAAAGTGAGGATGATGATGACATTTCATCGGATGGACGAGAAACAAATGATGAGCAGGAATTGCAGGATTCAGGTCGTTCTGTACCAAAGCAGAGGTGGAACATTAATATGTCAAATTTTAACTTGTTTTTCAAAGTTTCTATTACTTTTCATTTTTGCTTCTTTGTCAAATTGATGTTTTTTGCATTGTATTTTATTCTATGATTTGTTTTATTTTGCTAAATTGGTCAATCATTTTCCAGATACAAGTCACGGAAAACGCAGGAACGAAAAATAGCGCGGAAGAATTTGAAGCAAAAATTCTCATCTTTGTTAAAAAGATTCAAAATTTCGGAAGAAGGAGCTGTAGGTTAGATAATTACACTGCAGTATATTGTATCTGGATTTTTTTAAAAATATTGTATGAGATTTTCATCATAGTTTAACTAATGAGAATATTTAACAGATGGCTGTAATTTTTTCCAGATTCCACATCACGAGCTGGTAGTGTTGCACCGACAGCACAGGAGCTTGAGGAGCTGTTCGAGGAATTGGATAATTTATCGGATTCGGGACCAGAAATGGTCATGGATAATTTGAGTATAGTAAGCAATCCAAGACCTAGTTTACGGCCCTATTTTGCTTCACGAGAAGTGTTACCATCAATCAGCGATGATAAAGTATGGTATACTTTAGACATTATTCTTGATCCGATCTCCTTTTTAAAAGCATTACATTATTTCATCGTTTCAGGACAATACTGAAGAAACGGATAGCGATGAAGAAGTTAGCACCGACGTTGATAATCTGATGGTCGCATCAACTGCCGTGTAAGTGAAAAGTCCAATGGAATTAGCAATGGAATTTTTCTATAATTTAGAGTGCTTGATCTTTATTCGTTACTTCAGTATTTCTTTTTCTAAGTTGAAACTATGATGAATATGACGACCATGTTGTTGAAAACTTATGATTTGGAATGCTATTCCATTCTTTTTAACATTCAATTTATTTTTTCTTGCATAAAATATTTTGCGAACTTAGTTTATTTAAGAGAAAGAGAAAAAGAGGAGAAAAGAGTAAAGTACCCTTCGTCCTTGGTTTTAGGAGTTTTTTTTTCTTTTTTTGACTGAATATTTCTGGGTTGGTACTATCCTTTATCGCCAGAATTTGTCAAAAAATTGTTAAACAGATAATTTTTTGCCGTATGTTATAAGAATGCTGTATATCATAGGATCGTATTTATTGATTGCAGATTTGGTTCAACTGAAAAGAATGATCAGAAGGCGACATTAGAAACAGTTTCAAATATTGCCACAGTGAGCAGTGTTCCTGGTTTTCATTTTACCACTTCCAATGTACCAGCCTCAGTTTCCGCTATTTCATTTCCTCTTTGTTCGCCAAATCCCGATCCTGCAGGAAATGTTGCAAGACCACATTGGCATCCTGTACGTACAACTTCTGTCGTCGATTGGGTAAATTGTTACATATTTTAAAAAAGTGAAGTGATTATTTCCTCTTTTCTAGTCGTACATAATATAGTATAGTAAAGTTTTCGACTCCATTTTATTCACTTTATCACATTTAGTATGTTAGACACATGCGAAAAAACGCATATTATTTTTTGCTGAAATTAAACTAAAATCATTTTATATTTACTGGAATTAAATTAAATTGCGATTGCATATTTATCTCAATCTGTCCGATGTTTTAAAGATGGGTTATAGAAGTTGGTCGCTTAAATCCACATCTTAAGAGCTGGGGTAGAATTATTTTTTGATTAATATATAGTTAGAATCGTCTTTTGCAGTTGCTTCTTTTTTTAATTCTTTCTATTTCAATCTTATCTAGATGTTTGGTGCTCACCAGCTCTTTCCAAAATTTTTTAGACTTTACTTTTTTTTTAAATGGTAGTATTTTATAATGCATTACCAATCATTTCATCATCTCTTCTGCAGCGGTATTTAAATCTTCAAGTTTGCCGCTCTCTATTCTAAAGCTGTAAAATTATTTAAAACTTTGATTTAAACAATCAAATAAAACAATGTTTATTATCAGAATGCTAAAAATATATTTTTTATAGTTATCCTCTGTTGCACACGAAGAGTCGTGGAATGTTAGTGAACCTCTATGGTTATGTGATAGTTCTGATACCCAGATTCCATCATTTTTCGGTTCTGTTTTTCGGGTACTGGATTGCTCATCGTTCAACGATTGCCGCTTATTGATCTCATCGGTTGTTGCTAAAATACAAAAATTGTAAGTACTTTTATTGCATATGCCGTGGAAATTTATAAAAATTTTGACTGAAAATTGTGTTGATATATCAAAATGGAAATTACTGAATCATTTTTCTGAGAAATTCTTGTAATGAGAACTGTTGAAGTTCATGGGAAAATCCAGAAAATCGAAATTTAAGATAATTTATTTTTTTAAGCTGTAACAGCTCATCCGCATCTCCACCTTGTACAGTTCTTGGTGTGATTGGCTCAGAAAAATTGGTTAACTTTGTTTTACGTGCCTATGTTGAATCGTTGCAAGATAAATCGGCTGAATGGATCAATTTCCTGAGGTAAAACATTTTACTTCCTCTGATGAGGTGTATGAAATAAATCATTTTTTTTTTTTGCTTTTTTTCTGCAGTTTGAATTGTGATAACAATATGTCATTTTCTGGATTTTATTTATTTCAGATTTTGCGTGGTTACATTACCTTCTAGTTCGCTGGGCAAAGTGCTTCAAGCTGGATCTGGTAGTACATGTGTACTAAGTGAACTTCTTATGAAAAATCCTGATGAATTTATATTGTCTGAACTCAAAACATTTTCGGAAAAATTACAAAATATGCCGGAGGGCACATTTCGAAAGCTGCCGATCGGTGAAGCAATGTTGCAGTTGCATAGTAAAGCGTAGGTATTTCTGTCATATAGCCTTTTTTAATTTTACATTACTAATAGCTTATTCCTTTTGTTACATTTTCCAAAATAGCACGTGTATTCTTAGTAAGTCATCATTAGTCAATAGATTAAAGCGACTAACGATTCATACCTAGTATTCCTAGCTAGCTATCAAACAGCAATATCTTTTCTACTCCTTTGACGCTCTTGGATGTGCATTTCTCATTACCAAATTATCCCCTATGCGTCACACAATTACAGCTTGGTAGATGAAAAGGAAAGTTCGCAATTTGTTCCATTCCTTTCCGAAATTCGGATTGGCCAATTAGAAGAAGACGTGGAAAGTTGTACAATGTCTATACGGATTAACGACGAAACTCAGGTTTTTTTTTGGTTTATACAAATGGTTTATACATCCGGTTTTTGGAAATCTGCCAGTATCAGCTAAATTTTGACGAAGATTTGATAAAATATTGTATGAAACATTATTCAAATATGTTAGTAGTAAAGTATTTTCTATATGAATTTAGCGTTAGATTATTAATAATTCATCGTGTTATTGCAGGGTGTTTTTGCTGTGCAGCAATTATCTCCTCCGTTAACCCCGCATAATATAAAAATATCTGATTCACAGGATCTCCTTATCGAATACTGGATACCTAATAATCAAAACGTAAGTTAAAATATTGCCTTCAGTTTTTCGAACATCTTTATTGTATGTAAGTATGAAGGTAAAACTCTCATATGCAGCAGTTTGAATCCAACAAATTATTTGAATTAGGGCAATCAGATGCAGTATCTATTTTTTTGTATACTACGGAATTTGGCCTTTTTTTTAATGTAGTTTCGAAGTTTAATGGTTATTTTTAGAATGACGGCGGTGCAAGTATTGGTACCAGCAGCGGTGCCACTGGAGCAGTAAAACGCGAACCTCAATTTTTAAAATGCTCAATTCGGTCGGCATTTCGTTCATTTGCAGTATTCCGGAAACCATTCAGTGCTCTTCTCTCTTTTCAATTCGTGAAGGAGCGAAGGCGCGATAAAATGTTGCATAAATTTGGAATGAAGAAAGTACAAGTATGTTTCCAACAATTCATTCCATTTAAACATAAAGATAATTCGTAAGAAAATTGGTATCGGAAATTTTGTTTGTTTATAATGTAAAATTCAAGAGGAGGCTGTTTTGATTTGAAATTCACTTTTCAATTTTCAGCGGAATGAATCAGATAGTCAAAGTTCAGTTCAATGTATCAGCAATGTGGCACGTTTGATCTGCAGTGGGAAACATCCTCTTACAGGTAAGTCGATTTATAGCAACACTTATCATCTTTTTACATTTCAAACTGACAAATATGAGTGAACATGCAAAATACTTCGCTCGTTTTGTTTGTGAAGTATTTTGAAAGATGGTATTATTAATATCTATGGTAACTATAGAGGAAACGAGCTCAGATTATTGTTGCACTTTAAATTAAGATTTACTTGAAGGTCGAATTCAAGTTATTATCCTAGTGTTGAGGGTTTGTCTTTTTTATCTATGGTCCTAATACTTAATTTCAGTAAAAAAAATTGTAAGAGCAATTTTGCCGTAAATACCTCCAATTAATCTACCCAACTTATGAAATCCTCGCAAATTGTACTTCTTTCATAAAATTTTTTCTTTTCAGTCTTGATCGATGGTTGTGTGTGGTCAGAAATACGTTTTTTCCAGATCTCTGCTCAGTGGCAAACACACGTAAAATATTTTCCAGTTTTGCAAGCAGAAGTATTATGACATCAAGTTTACTAGTTGCACTTTGTTAAACATCTTCTTTCATCTATTTATGAAAATATTTTTTTTTGTATGTTTCAGTCTTGTGGGTTTAAGTGGTAGTTCCAATATAATGAACTATATAGAAATTAAACGCAGTGAGTTTGGCGTATTTAATTTTTTCTTGAAATTTAAATTCGATTACTGAAATTTCCTAAATTTCATTAATCAAAACTAAAAGTATTATTTGGTTGTATTGTTTTTGCGACAATATATCACATCTTTGCCTTGTTCGTTATATATCAGTTGCTTATTGTGCTAGTCAAAATGTTTCTTTATTGAATTCTTTTGCTTAGAACTTTATTTTGGATTCTGAAATTTATTATTTAGGGAGTAGTATGATGTTTTTGTAAAAATTTTTTGCATCACAAAAACTTCTCCGTAGTTTGATGCGATAATCGACCCAATTTATGATTCCTTTTAAAATTTGTTACATTTTCATGTTTAGGGACCGTTTGCTTTTTAGTATTAAATTTTTAGGTAAAGCCTACTGTTTCAGTGTTTGCAGTTCATTTATTTTTTCAGATACTTGCTGTTGTCTAATTTCTAATGTAAATTCTATTTGTAAAATAGAAGTTTCATATACTATTCAGTCAGGAAATTGCTTTAGTAATTTTAAAAAATTATTACATTGATGACAAGCTATAATCCAAATGTAACAGGTGTTTATATTCATCTCATCATAATTATCATGTCGTCTGCTACGAAGTATTCTATTTCACTACTTTGCCCTATGTAGCGTTACCAAAAATGATTTGTGAAATTAACTTAATGATCCTTTTAATCGATCCGCTAAATTATGTTATCAATGGTTGATATTTCTAGTTGTTACGTAAACTTCGCGAAGCTATTCCATCATTTCCATTTATTGCTTATTCAATTTTTACTTTTTTTCAATACCTCTACCATTAAACAGATATCAATTGATTTGCATATTATCAAATTATCCTAAATGGAAAGTTTATTTTAAAAATCGCAAGTTTTATTCTAATTCAATTTTTGCTTTATGGATGTTCACAGTTGGTGTGTCAATTGCAGCTGTTGTTGTTGGTTCTTCATGGTTTGTATATTTCGGACAAATTCTGCCTACAAAAAGTTTTTATTGTTCTAAAACTTTCAGTTAATAAAATTTTTGCTTTTATCTTTTGTTTTTTACCTTTTTCATTAAATCTTTATTATAATTTCAGAAATATATTATATTATTAAGTATCTTAATTATATTTGTAAATTCGAGCAATTTTTTCAATAACGACGTCCTCAAGCTTACATTTCATGAATCATATAATGATGAAGTGAAGGTTGGTTAAATGTTTTAATTTTAATTTTTAAAATTTTTAATTCTGTTTGATTACTACTTAATCGGTTGGAATATATTCAACAAATATAATTGAAATAGTATTGTAATTATTGTCATTATTAGATTATTATTGTTATCATTGCTGTTACTATCAGGTATTAAATTATTAATTCATTAAAATTAATTAATATTTGTTTCCTTTCTTTTGTTTTTATTTTTTCGAATTTTTACTGTTGCTAATTTAATAAATTTCTTCTCTCTTTCGGTACAACCTATCATTTCTGCTAATTTCTATTTAAACAAAAAAATAATTGATATAAAATATTTTTCTCAAAAAATTTATTGGGTGAAAAATTTTTCATTCTTTAATTTAATGTGTAAGAATTTTTGATAACAAAGTTTGCATACTTGTAAGCAAATTTTTAGGTTATTTTAAACGTGCATATTTAAAAAGGTTCAATTGGAAATGGTTCAGAAAATTTTTTACTACAAAAGAATGTCTTGAATAAGCGGGAATTATTTTCCTACCTTTTCTAATAATAGTTTCAGATCATTTATTGAATAAAATAAAATTTCGAAAATTCCAAAATTATTTCCAAATTCCTAAAATTTCAACAAAGCAATAATTGATATTAATATATTTTAGGTGCATTATATATTACGGAAATGTTTGCACGTTGCACTATTGTCCACGCAACGATATCAACTCTTTCTAAATTTAATAATCAATAGTGATATTGATAATAAGTGTCGTATGGAAATTTCTATGCTATTTGCAACTTATCGACTATATATTCTTACAAATTGGCATAATTTATTGTTTAAAACAGTATAATTTTAATTTTTATTTTCTTCTATTTTTAAAAATTTTAATAAAATTCAAATTTTATATTATAAAAAAATAATTAGCATATAATTATATTTTATTAATATCATAAAAATGTTCGTTTTTTTAAAAATATTTTATACCATTTTGTAATAGTTAAGAAAAGATCACTATAACAATATTTCTTTATCAATAATACTATCATTTTTACCATCATATGCTACTATTATTTTTATCATTATATCATTTTTATCACTATATACTTTATGTGTTAAATTATTAACAACTTCATTTAATTTTAATATTTTGTTATATAATTTGCATGAAATATTTGAAACTCTAAGAAAATAGACATCAATCAGTTTGATTTTATATGAAAAACGGAGCAGATGGGTGGCAGGTAGATGGAATATTTGATAATGAATTTGTATTCATTTAAAAAAATCCACGGATTTCTATCGCTGCAAAAAACATTTTTCATAGTTTAATTTTAAAAGGTTTAGTAACATTTTAAAGTTATTGAATAGATTAGAAAATTGTTATTTCTCTTTTTGTAAGTTTCAATTAGTAAAGATGTTAATTGATGTTAAGTTGTAATTAGTAAAGGTATCAATTGATGTTATTTGTTTAAGTTCAAATGTTAAGTTTCAATTCGATAGTTCAAACTAATAATGAGTTGTTGAATTTAAAATGTTAGATTATTTGCTTTTGCTTTTAGTATCTTAAGTTTTCGATTAATTAATTAGACGGTAAAATTTATTATTTTCAAAGGTATTAAATTATAAATGTTGTTTGAAAAACGAATTTTAATTTGTTAATGCTATAATCGTAACTTTTTTATTTAAATGATTTATTAAATATTTGTATTTTAAAATTTATTTAAACATAAAAATATATCTAAATTAATTAGTTAAAAATATACTACCAGATTTATATTTATTGTTTTTATTTTAAAATTTATTTACACGTATAAATATATATCTAAATGAATTAGTTTAAAATGCTATTACAAAATTAATTAAAAATTAATTAGTTAAATTAGTGAAAAATTAATTGGTTAAAAATTAGTTAAATTAAAAATTAGTTTAAAATTTAAAAATTAAAAATTAAAATTACAAATTAGTTAAAAATGCTATTACAAAATTTCATGATCGAAATTATTGTCAATTAACGTGGAATGTACGAAAAGAAGGGAAAAATGAATTAATTATGGAAATTCATTGCATAGTGGAAACAAATATTCCAGAGAATATATCGGATCATATTGATCAAAATCGATTCATATGTATTCGATTACGCTTACGAAGTGATAATAATGAATATAATACATTATTTATGCAGAATTTCTTATCAGGTTAAATTATTATATTAATAAATTATCATCCCTTATTATTTGAAAAAAAACTAATTTTTCATTTCTCACTCGATAATGTATTCCTAAAAATTAGAAAATTTATATGTTCACAATGATACAGTAATAAAATTCATATCACTTATTTTTGAATGGCTTTCAAAAATTTAATTCAAATATATTTAAATCATTTCAGGAATTTTAAATTCTTTCTCTCTCTTTTATTTCTTGAAAGCAAAAGGTTGGATAGATTTTCCCTTTTTTTTTTAATTCAACAAAAATTAATGATATGTTAATTTTTGCATAAAATTTGTTCATCTTAAATTTGAATTTTGCAGAATGGGAAAGGAAAATTTTTGATCCAAAAATACGACGTATCAGAGAAGTGATAGCTACAAAGAAAAATTTAAAATTGAGCAATTATAAAACAACAAAACGAAGTAGTACCACTATTCAACGTTTGCTAACAAATACGATAAATGCAACAATGTATATTCCATGGATTCATGATTATAATAATGATTCGGCATGGAACGATACGAATGATAATATAACATTTCCAAATATTACTATTATATCAACAAAAAGCAAAGATAAATTGATTTTTGGCTATTTTAGGTTCAATACGATTATTATTCCTAATATTTTCTTGTAAGAAAAAGAAGTTTCATTTTTTAATTTTCAAATTCAATCAATATGATCATTATTGCATTGATATCGCGAAAAGTAAAATTGATCAGAAAAAAAGATTTGAATATTGAAATGAAATTTTATAGTCAAATTTGAAATTGAAATTATAGCTTTCATAAGAGAGATTTTCATTGTAAAATCATAATGATATAATTCAAAATGAATCCATTTCTAATAACTTTTAAAGCTATGCAAAGTCCATTTCAAATTTAAATTGAAATATGAAATATTCCTTTATAATATGCATTATCAAACATCTAACAAGTTGATTTATTTAAACTCGCAGCAAATTTTATCATTTATTACTCATCATTTGCTGACCTTTTTTTTGCACCCTTTGTTTCTATTAATTGTTTAATCAAATTTTATTTTTCATTATTGAATTTTCATTTGAAGAGTAGAAACAAAGAGTGTAAGAGCATGAGTTTAAAACGTTTGTTATCGAAATTTTTCAAATTTTAAAATATTTACTATCAATAATTTTAGGTTATATGCTCTGATATTGCTAGCAATTTTGATTATACTTTTATTTGTAATCACAGTAATTACATGCTATTATGATTGTGAAAATCGTCGAAGCCATTTGTTGGGTGATAAATATGATAGCATCAAAAAGGATGCTGTACCAATAGTAGCAGTTAGATATGAAGGCAGGCAACCTGATATTATTGATAAAACTCGAGATGATGTTAGAATTTATGATTTAGTTATTTTTTAATTAATACTGTATAATATCAAAAAATTAATTCATAGATTATATTAATACAACTGCAATTCATGATCACAATTTACGATAGTACTGCTACACATTATGAAATTCGATAAAAATCCTAAATCTTTTTCATACTGTACGCTGTAGAGTCACAGTAATCCACGTACCTCATACTGTAAGCCTGTAATTCATAATCGCATAATATATCGAAAGATTATAACTGATAATCGTATCTGATAAGAAATGAATATATATCAGAATATTCAATGGTTACTGTCGGATATTTAATTGTAATATTAGAGCATTTTAGTTTTTAAAAAAATTAGGTTATGGAAGCTATTGTATTATTTTATATGATATTACAATATATTTGCCGCAGATTGAAAATCTTCTGAATTCATTTCTATTTATTATTTAGTAATTGTAGTAAAATTTAATATGAAATTATGCAATTAAAAAAAAATCTTACAACGCTTATAAGTTACAAATGAATATTTGATATTATGGCTTTAATAAACATTGTAAAATTAGATCATTATATTATTTTATGTGATATTCATAAAGTATTTGTCATAGATGTGTGATCACAAAATATTTCAATTCTATCCTATCATTTTTATTAGGAAAAAATAATCATATTCTTTAGCAAACTGATCATAAATAATGAACTGAGATATTAAAAGGAAGAGATAATATAATAAATACGATAGGTTTACTGTAACATGATTATGATAATGGTATTTTAGATAACACAAGAATCATCAGTGAATTCTCGTACACTTCGAAAGCGTCAATTGCTTATAGAAGCATTACGGTCAGGATCAACAAAATCTGTTACATGCAGTGAATTTGGTAATATTTTTATTTAAAAAATAATTGAAATATTAATTAATGCAATTTATAAAATTGTAAAATTAATTTCTTTATTTCACTGTTTCTCCCTTTTTTCACACTCATTTCATAAAATTTGAAAAAAAATCTCTTTTTAGCATTATGAATAATTAATAAGCCTTTTTCATTGATCCATAATACTATTTGATTTATTTTAATTTTAATTAAATAAATTTTATGATTTTCGAAAAATTTAATTTTAGAAAAATTTATTTTCTAACATAGAATAAATTTATCTTGAAAATAGCACCACAGCACCATAGCACCACATTTAGCACCACAGCACCACATAGCATCAAGCACACCACTACACCACAACACCACAGCACCACATTTAGCATCCACATTTAGCACCACAGCACCACATTTAGCACCCACATTTAGCACCACAGCACCACATTTAGCACCCACATTTAGCACCACAGCACCACATAGCATCACAGCACACCATCACACCACAGCACCACAGCACCACAGCACCACATTTAGCACCCACATTTAGCACCACAGCACCACATAGCATCACAGCACACCGTCACACCACAGCACCACAGCACCACATTTAATAGCATCACATTTAGGAGTTGCTATATTTACTCTTGTGATATTTTAAGAAGTGGAATTTCATCTTCTAATTTCGAAATTTTACCGAAATGATTTCTAATTTATTCAAAATTACTTACTCTATAATTTATAGTATCGAATTACTTATTTATAATTTATAGACATTGTTTATAGTTATTTTCTTATTTACATTTTAATTTTTACAATTAACTTTCCGCTTTTACATATATGTGCTTTCAAGCAAATATTTATGCTTTCAAGTAATTCAAATTATTTTCTTAATCGATTATTCGTTCATTTTTTGAATAAATTTCAGTTACACGCTGTTATTATCATTATTATTGTTATTTATTTAATATAATAATATTATTATAATAATAGCAATTACTATTGTTATTGTCATTATTATCATTATCATTATTTTATAGATGATAGTAAAACGTTTAAAAAGGATAGAACGTCGGAATTACCACATCAAGTCGAAAGAAAAGTATGGTTTTTTTTGTCTTTATTTTCAATTTATTGTTTTATCCTTTTTTTTTAATGATTGCATTAATTGGTGTATTCCAGAGAATATTAATTTATTGAATCAATTCAAAATTATCAATCGACTTAATAAGATATGATAAGTTAATCAATAGATAAGAAAAAATTGACTTAGATCTTTTAATTTTAAGCAATCATTTAAACTTCATAGTAATAATTAGTTTTGCTTTATTTTTTCATTTACCATTTATCATCATATTTATTTGAAAAATAATTTCTTCTTTTAAACTGATGATTCATCAAAAAAAAAATTCATCAATTAATAAATTTTTGAAATTATTACTGATAAATGAATCATCGTGATATTTGCTTTTTGTACAAATAATCATTTTCAAACTGCTATGAATCATCAATTTCTATGAATCACTTAAACTTAAATTTTATATTACTTAAATTTTACTTGCAAGAAATTTTAAGCATTAATTATCGAATTAATAAATTAACATAAAGTTAGTAGAACTATTTGTTCAAAGTTTTTTTTATGAAGTATATTTGTATAATTAAAAATTTCCGATGAATATTAACAGAGTTCATATAAATGTGTTTAATCCTATTTTTCGATCAAAAATTTAAAAACGTAAAAATAATAATTTTAAAATTAAATTTAGTTAATTGAAACGTCATTATCAATAAGCGATCATGCGAATGATAATGGACTGCATGCTGCAGTATCGCAAGTTACAGAAATGAAAAGGTTAATAATGCTGTTATAATTTCGTCCTTGAAATTTTAATGTTTAAAACTGCTAGATCTAAAAGAAGTATAATTAAAATAAAATATATTGAAACTTGTTTTAGCGACTGATAAAATTGTATTATAGGAGCATAACGGGTGATAACATATCAGAAGGATCATCATTTTCATCATCATCAGAATCAAATTCAAAATGAAGAAAAGATTGGTAATCGAAGAAATAATAAAGTGAAAGAGGATGGAAGGAAAGAATCGTCAAATAAACTTATGTTCAATCAAGAAATTTAATTATTAAATTCAAAAGGCATATTTATTTATTTGCTTAATATATATGTGTGAATTTTTTCATAAAAATTAATCTGCTTTATTCGAATTTGCTTCACATAATTAAAATTTAAATGAATAATTAAAAATTAATTAGCAAAATAAAATTTCATCTAAGATTTGAAAAACAATAGCTTCTGAAATTCAGAATAATTTTAATCCATCTAAAATTTTTCCAGTTAAACAAATGTAATTAATTGGTATTTTAATTTGTTTAATTGTTTAAATTGAAATTGTTATGATAATAAAGCCAAATCTTATTTTCAAATATTATTTTCCAATTATACTAATTATTATTAAAAGTACCATATATGATGAAAGATTTTATAAGTACAATTATAACGATTTAAAATCTATATTTATATTATAGTATATTTAATCGTCTTTTAATGATTTAAGGTTAAAATTAAAATTTTAGCCATATCCTACGATACTCTCAATCAATGAATAAAATTTTCAATTTATAATTAAATCGTTATCATTGTTAGACAATACTTATTTATTGATTGATCGGATATGAATGATAAGATAACAGGAATGATGCATAAAAATGCATCTTATCATTATACCATATTTAATCATTTTCTTTTTTCGTATTCGAAATTAATTTAAATTAACAATTGGAAAATTAAAGATTAGCATTAAATAAAAAATTTGTAATATTAACTTATTTCATTATTCGATGTAACAACCTTTGTTTTCATTTAACATTTATTCATTTTCTTGTTCATATGATAATGGATATTGATAAGAATAATTGTTTTCAATGAAGTAAGCATCTAAGCATTCAGTGATAACATTAAATAAGCTATCACATTCTGATTGTTGACGTTTATTGATCATTTTTGATGAACAATGATGATTATTCCTTAATTACTTCGTCACTTAAAATAAAGTTAAAATTAAAAAACCTAATTACACCTTTCGATATTCCGAATCAATAAATACAATTTTTCAATTCATAATTGTTCTAAGGATTATTTCGATACTTATTTTGATAGGACAGAAAATAGTCTTCTGAAGTCTTCTACTAGCAGTCTTCTGCTAACAGTTCTTCTGAAGTCAGAAAAATCTGCTGCTGAAATTTTACATGAAATAACAAAAATTTTTCCGGAAAGCTTTTTCTCACCGATTGACTAAGTTCCAATAAAATAAGAAATTACAATGAAAACTTCCGACTTAATTCTAACTTAAATATATAAATATTTTATTGATTTCATTTTAAGTAATTGAAAATTTCTTTTTCATATATTTTTAATTAATCATTCTTAATAATAAAACAATGATAGAACGGTTGGTTGGTTTTATTTTTCTTAAGTTTGGTTCATTTACTTTCTTTCGAATACATATGTATCAATTTATAATATACTATAATATGTTACGTAACAGATTTAAGAAATCAAAAATTGATATGAGATCATTGATAACAAGTTGAGAATAGGCAGTGATAACGATAACGAAATCAATTATTTTGAAATTTATTATTATCATCGTATTTCGACATATTTCAAACTGCATTTACGATTCCGGAGCTAATAAATCTGCTAACAACGGAATAGAACGGTAAGATATGTATTAAGTGTAATGTATTGGCAAGCTATCATTTCGTTCCTATTTGATGTTAAAGTTTGATTTATCACTTTTTCATCAAACAACACTTCAAGGACATAAGAAGGATGGATGGATGATGGCGGACAGATAAAAATGGACAGGTGACAATAGATGAATGACAACGGACGGGTAACCATAGATCAATAAAGTTCAAAGATACGTTGCAGTAAATAATTCCACGTTGATGATACAAACACCAAATAATTTGAGTACTCAATTGTATGCGAAATATTGGCATTGCTTCCCCATTATTTATCATTACCATCATTATTATTATTACAAATTATTATTATTTTTAATTGCTATTACTTTTATCATTATCATCATCATTATCATTATTATTATCATGATTATAAATTAATTCGATGTCAAAAAAATTGCAGTTTGAAAATTGAAATAATGAATAATTGAAATGGAATATCACAAAATAAAAAATTGATTAAGACAAAAAATGTGCGAAATCTGTATTTATCACTGCTAAATCTACTGATATCGAATTTATCAATCATTGATGAAATTAATCAATTTTGAAATAAAATTCACCAAGTTCTTTTATTTCTTCCTTTTTTCAGGATTACCGTGTTGCTTCTTCATCTTTCCGATAATCAAAACTATTTCGAATCAAAATTTTTTAGCAATATTTCTATTTTAAAATTTTGTTTCAAAATTTTCAACACTTTTTTAATTTGACTTTAGAAATTCTGATTTAAATTTTTAGGAAATTTTTTAAATTGCACTTCAAAAAAACAAATTAAAACTTTCATGACATTCTTTTGTTTTTTCATTAAAAATTTCATCGCTTTCTCGATTTCAACTTCTTTCGACAATTTTTCTTCAAATTTTCTTACTTAAATTTTGAGAATAGAAAAAAGCGCTATTTTGGATTAAAATTTCCAGTAATTTGTTATAACATTTTCAACACTTTCTTAATTTAACGCTTAAAATACCTTTAATGATAATATTTTTATTGAAATTTTAATGATAATATGCATGTGATAATATGGACATCTTTAATGATAATATTATTGAAATTTTACTGATAACATGCATACTTTTAATGGTAATATTTTTATTGAAATTTTACTGATAGCATGCATACCTTTAATGGTAATATTTTAATTGAAATTTTAGTGATAATATGTTTGCTTTTAATGATAATATTTTAATTGAAATTTTAATGATAATATGCTTGCCTTTAATGATAATATTTTAATTGAAATTGTTTATCAAACATAGCAAATCGAATTTTTATCAATATCATGACGCAAAATGACAAAATGAAAAATGACAAAAAAAAGAGAGATAAAGTATCAAAATGAAATGAAAAAAGAAAAAGATGCATGTAATGTTATCAGTAAATCAAAATCATAATCAAATCAATTTTTTAATCATATCATTCACATTTAACAATATACTATGCCTGTTTGCATATAATAATCATAAATACAACCTAATCAATTCAATAATAGTAAATAAATATAAAATCGGAACCATCTAACTATAAAAATATTGAAATTTCATAATGTAGTTGAGAAATTTAATTTCATCCCTTCCAATACTATTATCTTAAATTATACTATAGATTTTAGTAGAATGAAATTTGAATAATTTCATCAACTAATTTCATTTTCTTTTGTTTCATCTTTTTGAAATTGATAATTATCTATAGGATATAATTAAAAATAATCTTTAAATATAATTCGTTAATTCAAGTCAGATTAAATTGTTTCAAATTTTGATGGAAAAATTTATCAATATGTAAAATCTATGATGAATGATTGTATGATATAAATACTTTTTTGAATTCTATTAAAATAATAATCAGGTGTGAAATAAATGCAAAAATATTGGATGATTTCTTATCATTCATTATATTTGAAATATTAGGTGATTTCTTATCACTTGAATATTTTTAAAAAATTAACAATAATTCTATCAAAAATTTCATTTCAAAAAATTTCAACCATATCCTATCAAATTTCAAATATTCATCCAGGTAGCATAAAAATAATTATTTGAAAAAAAAAATATATATCAATTAAATTTTCTCAACTTATTATGAAATAAAATATATTCGTTTAGCAAAAACAAAATTTACTGCAACATTTAAATAACGTAAGTAAAAATATTATTGTAATAACTAGCTGAATTTAAAATTGGTGGAAATTAAAAACAATATTTCAAATTTTAATTGTTAATGAAATTAACAATGTCAATTTCTTTTCCTCAATTAATTATTTATTTATTTTTTGTTTTCATTGTTGTTGTTGTTGCTTTTTTTTTTTATTTTTGTGAAAATCAATCAAAACAAAAAAGAATGAAATAAAATGAATGAATGAATTTGTTTGTTTGTTTTATGAAAAAAAAAAAAGGAGGAAAAGTAAACAAATAAACAAATAAACAAAATTACACGCATATTTGAGTACGAAAGAATGGGAAAAAACAAACAGTCATGGATAACAGAGCCCGCGTCATTAAAAAAAGAAGAAAATAAGAAATTGGAAATGAAAAACCTTTTTTTTTTCTTGTTCTATTTTAGGTAAAGGAATAAAATTGTGTTGAAAAAAGATAGAAGCAAAGAGAGAGAGAGAGAGGGAGAGGAAGAGAAAGAAATAAAATAAATATTAAAAATGAAGTATTACTTCCTAAGCTAATATATAATTTTTTAGCTATCTATGTATTTCATCACATTCTTTTCATTTGTAATTTTAATTGACATTTCCGGTAATTATTTTTTTCCGGATATTTGTTTAACATCACGGAGAGAAATTAATAAATAGAGAAATTAACAAAATGATAACTGATAAATTACTTTCTTTTCCACTATTGAAACAAATATTTTTCAAAGAGAGACAGGCAAAGAGAGAGAGAGAGAGAGAGAGAATGAAATTATGTAGCAAAAAAAATGAGACAAAAAAATTTCATAAAAAAAGCAAGCGCCCTGTATGTACCGACAAATAATAATAATTAATGATAATAATGATGGAATAAACAACAACAAAGCATAAATGACAAATACACTTCCTATCTAATTAATTAACTAATTAATTTTTTTAAAGAAATTAATCATTTTTATTCTTCCATTTTCTCAATTTTGAATATGAATAATTTGATAAATTTATCATTTATCATAAAATATTTAATACAATATTGCAAATTCTTCTTCGATTAATTATCGTAAAAAAAGATGAAGCTAAAAAGTTTCAATTATCATATCACTATGAGGTATACTGTATTTATCATTTTATTAATACACTAAAGCAAGCAAATATTAAAAATCGTATATGGAAGATCTTTTATTTCCACCGGCCTTTATCGATTGAGTTCAGTGATAATTTAGGGTTCATATCGTAAAAATTATTGCTTTTATCAAATGGTATCATATTATTCATACAACATTTATTTCATTTCGTTAAAACAAAAATAACAAACTTGCAAGAAATGATTGAAAATTATTAATCGATAATAAATAAATAAACTACTTATATAGATATATAAATTTTAATATTTAAATGAAAAAGAAATTTTTGAAATTTGCTATTTCAGGATTGATTTGTAAATTTAATCCATTTCATAAAAATTAAAAAAACACATGCATTATAAAATGGAATTTTATTTTAAAATTTAATTTTCATAATTAAACAATGAAAAACAATTAATTAATGTAAAATAAAAAGAAAGCGCATTTGATTTTTCTATCAATTTTTTGGGAGATTTCTCATTTTTCGTTTTTCAAAAATCTCTCTTTCCAAAATTGTTTCAATTTAATATGATAATAATGATACCATTATTTATTTCTTTTCTAGTATTATACGATTTTCGAATAATTGGCGCTAATTGTATATTAATATTTCAACATATTTCAAAGAATAATAAAACAAAAAAGAATTAATTTAATTAAAAAATTTGAAAAAAAGCAAATAAATTTTGAAAGTAAAAATGAAAAAAGAAATATTCACTACGTCTTATTTAAATAAATGTGCACATAAATTAGTATAAATTAATATTGAATTATTCAACAAAGAAGGAAGCAGAGAAAATAAAAAGAGCGTTGAAAAAGAGGAAGGAAAACACACCGAAAATATGAAGAACTGAGTTCAAAAATTAAATTTGAGCAAATTAAAAAAATTAATAATTAATAACATTTATATAAAGAAAAAAAGAATGAGTTCGTTTTTGGAGAAAAATTTCTTACTAAAAGTTGGAAGAGAAGAGAGGAAATAATCGATTTACAAATAATAATAATAGTATTAAAATGTTTGTTTGTATAAAATAAATTTTTTTTTTTATCATTATTATCATCAACCTTATCACAATTTTTTTAACTTAATTTTTAGAATAAGAAAAAAAGAAGTGAGAGGGAAGGAAAGAGAGAGAGAGGGAGAGAATATAAACAATCGAATTATCTACCGCTGTCGATAAACTACTGATTACAGTATCCTCTTCCTTCCTTTATCTCCATACTATCATTGATTCGTGATATTGCAATTTATGAATATGATTTTGTTGACTTTATCCGTGTATAAAATATATTTCCATGTTGAAAATATTCACAGTAATCAACTCCTTTACGGATCTTTCTCGAAATTCCGGAATATTTTTTTTCCTTCCGAATCTGCACTATTCCATTAATAGGAAATCATGGAAGTCATTAAAAATGACTTTCTTCGATGCTATAATCATCTTTATGCATCCATAGACATATGGCCTGGCATCAACGATTCCATCCATACATTTGCGCCCATCTGCGTTTGTGCCCCACTGTACGGTGCCATCATATGGCTCATCGGTCCCGGCATAAACATATGGCCCGTTAGTGCACTGTAAAACATATTGCGCTCTTTTTTTATTTAAGAGAATTTAATTTTAAAATTGAAAATTTCTATATATCAAGTTCATTTTATTATATTCCATTCCAATCATTTCAGCAATCAATAAATGTTCTTAATTAGAAATCGAAAAATTATCCTAAAAATAATTGAAATCAAAATTTTTTATTTAATTCTAATTTTTTCGAAAATTCAATTTTGATATCATTCTAATGTAGCAATATAATTCTTTAAAAAAGCCCATTTCTACAATGATTTTTGTTGTTATTCAAAAAAAAAGGAAATGAAAAACATAATGATCGCTTTTGAGAAAAGATTAAAAACATCTGTTGGATGGGATAAAGAAATCCTATTTAATATACAATCCGTAAAATGCTCCTTCGTCATATTATCTTCCCGTCTTTTATTTCCCGAAATTCCTTTAACCGGTAATTATACTCATAAGCTCAATGAAGTATTATTTCATATGAAATAAGAGTTGAGATAGAAAGTATAATGATATTTTAAAAATTTTACAAACTATCCAAAATATATAACATGCATATAAATGAATGAATAACTTCTAATAATTATTTAAATAATTCTATTATTGGATTATAATTTTAATTTGCTTTTAACAATACATTTAAAGGATGATTTTTAGAATTATAATTACGGTATATATTTTTAAATTCTCAAAATTAAATTAAAAATAGTATCCCTTGAATCATTATTAAATTTAAATATTATTTCAATTACAATATTTCAACAATCAATGCTGTGATATATTAAAAATTGGAAATTAAAAATGATAATATATTATTGAAAAAAAGAATTAAAAAATTAAAGAATTTAGATTATATATAATTTAATTTACTTATTTGAAGGTATATTTGGGCATTAAAAACAAATTCGTATTTTAAGCTTAAATAAATTATCAAAGAAATAATTTAATATAAAAGATGGAAACATACGCTGGATTGGTAAATGCCGGATGAGCAATACCGGCAGCGTACGGATTACTAGGAAACATCGCTTGTGCTGGATAACCTGCCGCTGCTGCTGCCGCTGCACTTAATTGATTACTGTCCGGACTATAAGTATGGCCAACACCAAGTAAATCTGAAATATATAATAATTTATAAAAAAAAAACAAGAACAGAAAAGGAAACAAATTGATAATGTAATTCAGTAAACAATTTGCAGGTACACTTTAAAAAAAAAAAAAGTTATGCTAATTAATAAATTATCTATACATATAATATATCTGATAGATTTTAACAGATCTAGTGGATTTAATGGATTTAATGATTGACAGGAATTAACAGATTTAACGGATTGTATGCAATATGAATTGATAATAAAATTAATCCACTAAGAAGAAAAATGATTTTATTAAATTTGTCCATTTCTATTTCCAAAAAAAAAAGTATTGTGCATTTATATTGTATATTTAAATATATTTAAAATTATATTTAAATGCTACACAACTTTTGCATACATTTTTTAGTGTTGATTTAAAAAAGAGTTCAAAAATTTGAATTTTTCAATAAAAAATATTTCGCATAATAAAAATGAAAATGAAGAAGTTGACAAACCAGGTGATGGACCAGGACTTTGACCGCTACTTTTCCGCCTTCTATTTTTAAAAACACTGACACCATTTGGTCGTCCAGCACGATTACTTTGATCAATCATCGGTTGAACAATCCTTCGCCTGGCATTGATAAACCTATAAGAAATCAATTAATCAAATCAAACCGAACCAAATACAAAATTACAACAAGCTGATCAATTATTGGATTCATAATAAAATTTCGAATAATACAACAATCAGCCTAATAATTACTATTACAATTATCGAATTCCAATTTAGATATGAATTTATTCTATTTAGGGGTAAAAGAAATGAAATGATAACTATAAAAAATATTTATTAAATTCATATAAAATATATATTTATATTACTTTTAATACTTTATAAAATATTTTATACATAATATAATTGAATATTGCTTTACTCAAAATAATAAAATAATGCTTTTTAAATATTTAATAATTTCTTAAATAAATATTCTTCATGTAAAAGAGTTATTCATTTTAATGAAAAAAGAATAATGATTATTTCATTTTTTGACATTAAAAATTATCAATATATTACATTGATTTCTTATTTCAAACGATTATAAATACAAATGTCATATTTTAATTTATTTCTTAATAATTTAATTGCTAAATTAATTTCTTTATAATAGTAATAATTTATTTCGTTATAATTTAATTTGTTAAATTTATAAAAACGGAAAGAAAAAGAGATAGAGAGAAATAAAAAGAAAGAAAGAATAGAAATACAATCATTTAAATAACATTTTTTAGGGATAAAATGAGGCACATTATGAAAATTTCCCTTCTCCCTAAAATATTTCTATACATGGAGCAATTAATCCTAATTATATTGAAATTAATCAGGTTTAATTTTGTCTAAATTAATAGGAGTTGAATACTCTAAAATAATATAAGGAATAAATTAGAATAAATAAGTTAAACGTGTTATAAATTTCTTTTCATTGTTTCTTTTCTTTTCCTCTTAATTATATCATATAAATAATCACTTTACTATTTTTCGGTTAAGGATAATTATTTTCGCATAATTTTTGCATAAGTTTTTGCGAATTAATAATAATTGCAAATGAAATAGCCGTAATGTTTAAATTTTATAATTTTTTATAAGTTTTCAAGTTTTTAAATATAAAATCTTTTTTTGCTTCCATCTATTAAATTCAAATTTCTACAAATTACAATCATTAATTACTATTTTATATTTACTAATAATTCAATCTATCAAATTTCAAATTTCTACAGATTACAATCATTAATTACTATTTTATATATATTTCTCTTTCCCCAAATGGCAACTTAAAAATCCTTTACATATCCATCAAATTGAATGCCATAAGTTCTAATTTTTATTGCCATCATAAAATGACTCCTTCTCCTTCTCATATACTTTATAATACCATTTGATGATAGCATTTGCAACAATATATCTTATCAAATTTATGTGTCAACAAAAAGTAAATAAAAATGATTTTATAATACTATAAAATAAAAAAAGAACTATAACAAAATAGTTGACAAAATAAATTTATGCAAAGTTGATAAATTATAATAATTCTATTTCACTGATAAGTTGCGATAATTCTATTTCATTGATAAATTATAATAATTCCATTTCATTGATAAATTATAATAATTCCATTTCATTGATAAATTATAATAATTCTATTTCATTGATAAATTATAATTCCAATTTCCACTCATTTTTTCAGTTCCAATTTTCATTTATTTTTTAAGTTCCAATTTTCGTTCATTTTTTAATTCCAATTTTCATTCATTTTTTAAGTTCCAATTTTCATTCATTTTTTAAGTTCCAATTTTCATCCAACCAATCTTTCTTATTTCTTCTTTTGCATATTTTCATTTCAACTTTTTAACAATATATATTAAGATATAATCTTTCTCTCTCTCTCTCTATACATATATATACTATTTATAATATTTACATTTTCTTTCTATTTCTTCGTCTCTTTTCTCTTCCTTTCATTTTTCAAACTTTTTAAATTTCAAAAATTTTCCATTATTATAAATCATTTCGTTTTATTTTATTCATTCTGGCAGAATGGAAAAAAATGGGAAGAACTTTTCTGTTTATTTTTTCCTTCTCTTTTTCTTTAAAAGAAAAACGTTTGACAAATGTTTCTTCGACAAAGCTGGCAGCAATGGAAAACTTCGAACAGAGCTGGCAGCAACGAATGAATGCAATGAATGGAAAAGAATAAAATGAAAATGATAGGAATGATAAAAAGACGAAAAAATTGATAGAGCAAAAATCAAAATAATTTCAAATTGCTTTTATCTCTCTTAAAAGTATTCCCGCAGGAAAATAAATGTTGCTATTAGCTCAAAAGAAGGAAAGATAAACGAAATAGCATGTATCGGTAAAATTTACTTTTAAAAAGAAATTTAAAATTAGTAACACCAAAAATATATCTATTTGATAATAGTAATAAATTTAAATATTTTTGTAAAAAAATTTGACCTAATGACCTTTTTCTTCGTTTTCTTTGTTTTTTGTTTTCTTTTCCTTTTTAATTTTTTGAAATAATATTTGCTGCAATATTTCATTTTAATGCATTGTTGTTGTTGTTGGAGAAAATATATTATAGTATGTAGTGATCATGAATCAATATTTATCGATCGATCGATTCTTTTGTTTTCAGCATTATCAATAACAATAAGCTTAATTGATTTATTTGAAGAAATTTTAGCGATTTTAAGCATATTTTAAATTTGATTGAAATGAATTACAAATTAAAGATAACAATAAGTGTCATTTATATTTTTGAAAATTTTCAAATATTAATTTATAAATGATCTGATAACAATGTCTTATTACTTTACCACATTTGCCCTTTTTGTTTCCATCCTTTTTATGCGACCAATAAATTCTATCATTTTAAATTATCAATAAATTTTATTCTAAATAGCTGTCAGGAAGGAAAAATAAAGTATTATTAAATTAGAATTGGAAGAATTAAGGAAAAAAAGAAAAAGAGTATTAAAATTAAAGTTAATTATTAAAATAATAATTAAAAGTATTAAAATAAAAAAATAAAAGAAATTTTCAGAAAATAATCTTTTAAAATTACTATTTCCCTAATAATTAGTTAACTATTATTAGTTTCTTTTAATTATTTAATATTAATAATTCCTTTTGTTTTTTTAATTGAAAGAAACTTTTTTCAACATAAAAAAATTTATCCTGAAATTCTCTTTCTTCGTTTTCTCTTTCCTTCCTTTTTTTTTTCTTTCTCCATTATCCTAATCTTTTATCATTATTCTTATCACTGTTATCATTATCATTATCACTATTATTATTTCCAACATATTAAATTGAACAGAGAAAAAAGTTGGAAATATTTGGAAGAGTTTTAAGAGAAAAATTGAGTAATATGAAATAAAGAGAAAGAAAAGAAAACCCCTCAATTAGTTTTAATTTTGATCAAAGAAAATTTAAGTATAAACCAGAAAGACAATTTATTTTTACTCTCTCCCTCTCTCTCTTTCTCTTTCTTTCTCTCTCTCTTCTTTCCCGTTCCCATCTTTTTTCACCCCGATAGTATCATCATCCTCATCATCATCATCATCATTATCATCAGCATCATCATCATCATCATCATTTATCATCAATCTCTCGACTTATTTTCTCCTACACCATTTCCACCCCCCCCCCCCTATCATTCCTCTCATTTGCCCACCATTTTCCCCTCCGACAGCTGCGATAATCCATCATTTTCAAGGCTGCTTTCCTCTTTGCTTTTAAACGAACTCTTTGATAGCTCAAATCAAAAATCTTTTCCCATTTTTATCTTTTTCTCTTTCCTTACAACTTTCAATCTCTCTCTCTCTCTCTCTCTCCCTATTTTCATAATGATTGAATTGAAGTCTTTTCATCAATTTAACTTTTCTAAAAATCCATCTGATATCTTTCTTGCAAAATCTTGAGAGTTGCTTTGAAGATCATTGAATTATGCAAATCTTGAAAATATGATATTTTAGTTTGGTTTACTTTCTATCATTCTCTCTCTCTCTTCTCTCTCTTTCTGTTTCCTCTCCCAAGAGATTTATTTCCTTATTTCCTTGTTTATCTTCATCTTATCTCTTATAGATATCATATAGTTTGTAGTAAAAATAAGCATATTATAAATCCCAAATGTATTATAATAAAATTATCATATTGTTTAAGATTTGATGTAAAGTGAAGTAAAATGATAATTTTAAAAGTGGTAAGGGAAAAGAGAGGTGGAAGGTTAGAAGGGATACGGTATGAACAGCTGAGGAAGAAGAAACCGTTCATTCTTCTTTCATTCTTTTTACTCTCCTACCCTCTCAAGATCTCTCTTCTCCTTCAAACCTCATCAATCATACGGTGTGATTTACATCTCTTTCTCTCTCTCTCGTGAAAATTTCAGATAGAATAGAAATCGATCAAAATGTGTTGTTGTTAGTATTGCTTCTTCTTCATCTTCATCTCATTGCTGCTGTTATTGTTGTTGTTGTTGTCAATGATAAGGATGATAATAACGATGATAATAATAGCAATAACAGTAATATCATGATTATGATAATGTAACAAGAAAAATGGAAAAAAAATGAGAAAGAAAATGAATGAAAAATAATTTTTATTAAAATAAAATAACAAACCAATTTAATAATTGATAATAATAATAATAACAATAATAAATAATAATAATAATAATAATAATAATGATAAATAATAAAAATAATAATAAATAGAAATAGTAATAATAAATAAATGAATGAATAAATAATAATGACAATAGTATCTAATAAATAAAACGAAGTAGAAATACATAAGAGAAAGGTCAAATGTACAACAAGAAAGAAATATATCTAATTATGAATGAAAAAAAAAGAGTACCACAAAAATTAAAATTATAATAGAAAGAATAGATTTGAAAATGTAAAAAAGAAATTTAATTTAGAAATATTTAACAAAAATAATATAAATAATTATGGAAATTTAATAAAAATAAATAATTGAAAGAATTAAATTCAAATTCATTACAGTATCACAGAAGAAAAATTTCGTTTTATTCGTTATCGTACTAAAGTATGAATTGAATTTTTAGGAAGAAATTTCCGTATTAGAGAATTAAAATCGAATTTAAATTCGAATTCATTACAGTATCATCAAAAATACAAAAAGAAATTCCTTTCTATTTGTTATCGTACCTTTTTTCTATTCGTAATTTTTTTTATTTTTGTAAATTTTATTTTTTTTAAAAAATTCCGTTTAATTCGTAATTTTAGTCGTACCATAATTTAAGCATAAATTAATCGTACCATAATTTAAGCATAAACTAATCGTACCATAATTTAAGCATAAACTAATAATATAACTAATAAACTAATAACATAAATTAATATTTGTAATGCACATAATAATGTTCGTTCAAAAATTTTCCGGAGAAGAAATTTCCCGGAAAAGTAATAATTGAATTTTTAGGAAGAAATTTCCCTATTAATTGAATTAATTGAACTTCTAGCAAATTAATAATATAGCATTTATTAAATCAAAATTTAGTAAAAAGAATTTCCATCATTCAGCTATATCTTCTGACAGATTTATAAATACTTTTTTAATAGCAAATTTTTGTTAGCTTATAGTAAAATAGCATTTATATTTTAATTGATAGCAAAAAACAATGTAGCATTTATATTTTAATCGATAGCAAAATTTTACTAAAGTTTGAAATATAGTTAACATAGTTAACATAATTAACTGAATGAAAGTAAGTAAAACAAATTTTGGATATAATTGAAATTTCAAAAAAAATTGTCGGTCTCTTCAAAATAAAAATTTTTTTAAACCAAACATAATGATTATCATACATGTTTTCACATATAATTTTACGCCACATCACTCTGATATTGATTGTAAAAATTCAAACTAATAAAATAACCCAATGAAGAAAGTAAAATGAGAAAAGAAAGGAAGAGAGTAAATAGTAATGAAAATAAACCAGTTAGAGTAGTAATTAAATACTCTAATTTCAAGTACTTCTCTTTTTCAATTCCATTTCAGTATTTGTAATTGTTATTTTACTTGCAATTATATATATTTAATTGTAGGATACGAAAATATCATGAACTATAACAACAACAACAACAACAGCAATATTTGTATATGATTAAAAATTTCCGATCAAAATTTCAAATATAATTTATCACGAATTTCGTGATAAATTACAAAATGGATCCTAGGAAAAATGTCTAATAAATCAAGTTGCATAATTTAAGTTGTATTCCGGTATTACCTGAGGGTATTTTAATATATTAAATTAGATAAGTTATTTACAACATTTGAATATACTCCGGTAATATCTGAGATTATTACTGATATTCAAGAGATGAATAATATGAATTCAAATATAATTATTTATCACGAATTTCATGATAAATTACAAAATGGATCCTAGGAAGAATCTCTAATAAATCAGCTATATAATTTGAGTGTGTTCCGGTATTACCTGAGCATATTTTAATATAATAAAAATTCCTGATTTGAATATATTCCGGTATATCTGAGATTATTACTGATATTCAAGAGATGAATAATATATGCAAAGAAAAGAAAGACGAAATATCAACGGTCAAATTGAATTCAAAATTTTTCATCCTATTTCATTATTATTTTATTTGTACTGTTACTGTTTGCTATTTGTTCTGTTACTGTTTGTTATTTGCTGTTAATAATTATTATCAAATTTTTAATTATCAAATTTCTGATAAAAAATAATTTTACAAAAAAATTTTTTTCACTCAAATTAATTTCATTTCTTATTTACATTACATATGCACATATATAGTGTTTTTACCCCTGTATATTTCATTTTAATCAATAAATAAAATCAAATTTTAGTATTAAAATAAGCGGAAAACTATTTGGCTATTCATCTGTTTATCCATTATTAAAAATGGGATCAAATAATTATTTGGAATATAAATGCATCAAATAATTGAGATCGGTGCGGAAAATTGGCCCAACAACTAATATATATATATATATATATATATCACTTCAAATCAAATGCGGCTTTGGCACTCTATGTACCGTATATAATAGGATAATTGCTTACTCCACTATTAGCTTCACCAAAATCAATCTTAAAAATTATTGATAACAATTTGAATTAATTTTAAATTTCCAAATAATCAATCGATAAATAAATCTTTGTATATTCAAATTTATAAATGAAATAAAATCAAATAAAAGTTTTTCAAAAATAAACATATATATCATTAATTTATTATTTATATATTTGTTATGTCCAAATTATACAGCAAAACTGCCTTAAATATAAATATATAAATAAGTTAATCTGCCTGGATAAACAGATAAATAAACAAATAAACATGTACTATGTATGTTAATTAATTAATTAATATATATATTTATTTATCTATTTATCAAAGCATTTGGAAAATCATCATCGTAATGGGTGTAAATGCGTTTAGTGAAAGATAATCATCTAATACAATTATCCCCAAATTATAGGTTACACAGTGAAACTGCTTTAAATCGGATAATCCCTTAGTTGTTTCCATTTTCGATAAACGATTCGATAGTAATGGATTAAATTAATCTTATAAATATGATCGATAAATGAAACAGAAAAGAAAATATTTGGAATTGAATGATAAATGAACAAAACAAAAATACGTTTAAAAGAAATGAAATTATAAAATAAAATAAATTAAAATTCGAAAAGAAATAGGACCAAAATTATACTATAAAATAAAAAATATTAAGAAACGAAAATAATGAAAAGAAATGCAAATAATAATTAAGAACAAAACAAAAATACGTTTAAAAGAAATGAAATTATAAAATAAAATAAAGCAAAATTCGAAAGAGAAATAGGACGAAAATAGTATAAAATAAAAAACATTAAGAAACGAAAATAATGAAAAGAAATGCTAATTAAATTAGCAAATAATAATTAAATTAGTAAATAATAATTAAAATAATAAATAATTTAAAGAAAAAAAAGGAAATTAATAAACAAAATTTTTCCTCTTAAACTCATACATTCTCATCTTATTAATTTATTTTATATTATATATTCGTAAAATTTTTTTTCATTAAATTTATTTTAAATTTCATTCTTACATAATTTATATTTCTTATCCATAAATTCTTCATTTTGCAAAAATTTTTTTCTTCCCGCTCCCCCGTTTCTCAGGGGAGAAAATATTAAAATTTCCCCATTTTACATTTTTTGCAATATGATCTGTGCTTATTTTTTTGCTTTACCCCTACCCTCGTCATATATTTGTCATCCCCCGTCATATATAGCTTTATCCCCGGCCTTCCTCCCTTCCCGCTCCCTATCATTATATATTTTCAGGAAGAATTTATGAAGAGAGGAAAATATGAATGAAAAACATGGGTTATTGATGAAAAATGATGGGAAATTATCCCCAAAAATGATGCTTCTTTCATTCTATTCTATTTTTTTTCATCCTCAAATCAATGACACCTATATTTAGTTGACCTATTTCATTTCTTCCTAATGGTACCACAACTGTCACTCAATCTATCTATGAATTAAAAAAGAAAAGGAGAAGGAAAGAACAAGCAATTAACAATGTGATCATATAACCATCCATTTTAATTATCCTAATGTATCATCATTTTCCTCCATTTTCCTTATCATCCCATCCATCCCTTATGTTCAAAAATTTCTTACCTCATAATTTAGCATTAAGCATAAAATTCATTCTTCTCTCTCTCTCTCTCTCTCTCTTTCTTCTCTCTCTTTTCTAATATTAAATTTTAATTTTTTTTTAATGAATACAAAAAGTATTTGAATTCATAAAGTTATTATTTCTTTTAACAATGAAATTTTAATTTTTAACTTATAAAAAAATATATTTTACCATGAATTTGTTAAGGAAAGGATGTGAATTGATTGCACGAAAAGAAAGCTTTTTCTATTTATATGCAAATTAATGATTATATATTATTATATATGGTATTTAATAATAATAATATTAATCATAATAATATTAATCAATAATAGTAATAATAATAAAGAAGTAATAAAAATTTTTTCCTTCTCATATGCAAATTAATGATTATACTACTATATGCGGTATTTGATAAAAATAATATTGATAATAATATTAATAATAATGATATTAATAATAAAGTAATAATGAAATTTTTTTCTATTTATGTACAAATTAATGATTATATTATTATAAACGGTATTTAGTAATAATAAAGTAATAATAATACCAAAATAATAATAATAAATCGAAACATTTAGACGACAGAATAAATGATCCTTTTTTCTTTCTTTTAAAAAATAATTAGCATAATTAACGGTATAATTTAAAGTTAAATGTACTAACAAATATTATGATTACGGTAAAATGAAATTATTCCAAAAATTACAAAAAAATACCTTTTGTTTTTAACACATTAAATTACGATAACATTCATTAGAAGATATTTTCAAGGAAAAGTAAAAGGAAAAAATTTGAATTAAAAAAGGAAGAAGAAAAGGCTTACCAATTATTAACCTGTAGTATTGTTAGGCCTGTTTCATGTGCAAGTTGCTTTTTTTGATCTTCCGACGGATACGGATGCTAAAACAATCACAAAATTATTATTTGTAAATAAAAAAGAGGAAAAACTTTTTTTCCAAAAATTAAACTTTTTATATAAAAAATTAAAAAAATTCGTTAATTAACGAGAAACAAAAGGAAGAAGGAAATAGTTTATACAATGCTAGCATCACTGCAATAATAATTTTTGATTGTTTTAATTTATGAATTTTGTTGAAATTATTTCAAAATTTTGTTCTCAAACAATTCTTTAGCAACAGTAAGTAACATTATGCACTAAAGCGATTGAAATTTTTTGTATCATTAAAAATAGTAATTAAATAATTAAATGATTTTATAAAAGAATGAAAGAAAGGAAATTTATCGATTCTGTTCAGAGGAAATTTTAAGATTATCAATTTCAATTTGAAAATAATACTTTGTTTGCATGTTTAAAATTTATTCTAACAATTTATTAAATTTATTCAGAGGAAATTTCAACATTTTCAAATTCAATAATTAAATTATTCTGATATAGGAAATGATATAATGGAATTTAAATTCGTTATAGTTTTAGTAAAAATTAAGTGAAATATTATATTTTGCATCAAATCAATAAAAGCATAAATTTATTCATCTTAATTATTCCAATATAAGAAATAATATAATGGAAATTGAAATTCATTATAGAATATCGTATATTTTTAAATTTCATGAATTCATTTAGTAAAAATTAAGTGAAATTGATTTGACTAAAAGAAATGCACAAAAATCAATAAGCTAAGCATAGTAAATAAAATTCATCAAATAAAATTATATTTTCAAAAATTATAAGAATATAAATATATTTGAAATATAATAAATTAATTTGGTAAATTTTAAAAAACAAAAGAAAAAGATAAATGAAAATTATTTTACTTTTAATTTATCATTTCTTTGCAAAAACTTCAACAAACACTTAATTATATTCAATTGATGAACGAGAAGAACAAACAGAAAATTCCGTTCCTAAAAATTTTTCAAATTAAACAAGAAAAGCAATCCGTTAAAATTTGATAAATGAAAACGTGAAAAACAGTAAGAGAGAGAGGGAGAGAGAGAGAGAGAATTGATTTATTAAGTACAACATTTAATATTTAGTAATCATTCAGTATTTGTCAATCAAATAAATTTCAAATTCATTCATCTGTCAGTTAATCCAAGTTAATCATTCTATCATTTAGTCAATATCTTTAATTCAATTCAATTCATTCTGATTTGTTACTTATTACATCTTATCAAATTAATAACATGAACTGATAATATGAATTGATAAAAATATGAATTGGTAATATGAATTGATAAAAAGAACTGATACTTCATATAAGACATCAAAAAGATAAATTGCTAAAAAATATTTGAAATTTTTTGCGAGTTATATTTGATTCATCAATAAAAAAACCTATAAAATGAGCTTAAAAAGATATTAATATAATTAATTCAATACAAAAATGAGCTTAAAAAGATATTAATATAATTAGTATAATATAAAATGAGTTTAATCTTAATGTAATTAATATAATATAAAAATGAGCTTAAAAAGAAGGCTTAAAAAGATATATATTTTTTTTTTAATGACCTAAATGAAGGAAGAAAAATTTTTTGAAAAATAAAATAAGCAAAATAAAAGAGAATAAAATTTTAAAATTCTAATTTTAAATTTATTTTAAAAACAAAAATAATAATTTCGATTTTTTTATATAAATTAAATTTAAGAAAAAACAAAAGGTAGAATAAAGAAATTTCTCGAAATTATTTTTCTTATTTCTTTCATCATTTACGACAAAAAATATTCATTTTTAATGAAGTTATTTCGCAATTCTAATTTCATGCAAATTTCACATTTTATTATTTTCATTGTCATTATTGTTCCCTAAAAATCCATTTCAACTTCAATCCATTCCAATTTACCGATAAAAATTTTTTCGTTAAAAAAAAGAAGAGAAAGAGAGAGAGAGAGAGAAAAAGAGAGAGAGAGAGCATAAAAAATGAAATAGAAAAAGGATGAAAAATTTCTCACCAAAATGATTGACTTCCAGCGGTGAATTAAATTAAAAAAAGAGGCAATTACCGTAACCCTATCATTTTCATTTGTAATACATTGGCTATTTTTTTTCAAGGACATAAATATATTTTAGGAAAAACTACTACTTATTGTATCACGACATCAACAGAATCAAATACTATCAATGATAAAAAATGATGAGAATGATATATGATGATAAATTACGATTAATATAATAATGATGTTGTATTACATCTAAAATATGGTGTGAAAAAGAATGAGAAATAAGGAAAAAAAATTAGCATAATTGAAATTAAATTTAAGAAATTGTACTTTTCAAATTCTTCATATTAAATTTGAATTATATTTAACCATTGAATGGATTTAAGGTATCTTTTAAATTATATTTAATCATTGAATGGATTTAAGGTATCTTTTAAATTATATTTAATCATTGAATGGATTTAAGGTATCTTTTAAATTATATTTAATCATTGAATGGATTTAAGGTATCTTTTAAATTATATTTAACCATTAAATGGTATTTAATTTCAAAAACCATTGAGTGATGTATAATGTCAAAAAAAGAAGAAAAAATTTTACGACAAAAAAAGTACGAGGTTTTAGTATGAGATCGTGAAAAAACCATCATGAAATTTAAATGATAAAGCTGTAAATAATGATGATGATGATAATAATAATAATAATAATAATAATAATAATAATAATAATAATAATAATAATAATATTGATAATAATAGCATAAATAATGCAATGAAAGGCAAATTATCGCTAAACTTCGATAATTTAATTAATTAATTAATTAAAGTAAATACAATTTATTGAAATAAGTAAACTTTAAAATCTTAAGTTAAAATACCTCCAAATTTCAATTATTTATTAGAAAAGATCGATAATATGCATTCTCTCAGGAATTTATTTAATACATATTATATACTATCAACCTGCTATTGATAAAAAAAGAATTTATAGAAATAAAGAGAGGGAGAGAGAGGGAGAGAGATGAAATTTCCAATCATATATTTAATATCCATGAACATTAAACCAGTTGATCTAAAACTTACGGTAAGATTCTGGAACAGCCATGCCCTGAATTTGGTGATTGCTTCTTTTGAAAAAACTTTTGGTACTTTTCGTTTATTTGCACCGGTTCCTGAACCACCACCACTTCCGGTATTTCCTTCACTTAGAACCGATTCCCTCCCGCCATCATCATTTAACGAACCGCACATCGATAACGATTCATCACCTGGAAACACCACGTTGCTACCACCCTAATTATTATTTTCTGAAAAGAATGGAAAAAAAAGGAAACTTAAGTTCCATAATAATTCTTTTATGGAGATGTTAGAATTTGATTAATTTCGAATTTGAACCCTTCTAATTAATCGGGAATTTGATTATTTAATTTAACTAATTGCAAATTGCTCAGCAAACAATTGCATAATAATTATTGATCTTAAATAATTAAAATTTAGATTTACTGGCTAATTTTCTTTTTCAAAATTTTATCCTAAAAAGAAATTCATATATCTTCACTAAAAATTATTTAATGTAATGTTTTCTAATTTTCAATAAAACAATGAAAAATGGCGCTTATGAGTAATGATATCAATTTTGCACGTATAATAAAATTTATTTCAAAAATGAAAAATCAAAATTAAATTAGGAAAGTATTGTAATAATTATATTTATCATACACAAGTAAAAATACTTGTGTAAATAATAGTAATGATAAATTTAAATTTAAATATAAATTATTAAAAAAGACAAATAGAGGAAGAGAGAGAGATAGAGAGAGAGAAAAAAAAAGATGATAAAATGAGATAAAAATGTGTAAGAAATTAAAAATGCTTTATCAAATTATTGTATCATCGATTATCAGATTATTGTATCAAAAAAAATGATAATATCTTTTAAAAGAGCAAGAAGTGATGATGTATTAGTAAGTTTGCAGGCAAAAGCAGTGATGCTAGCAGTTTGTTTACATAAATAAACAAAAATAAAGCAAACAAACAAAAAGATAAATAAAGTTAAAAAAAGTTCATACTCATTTATAAGCCGCATAAAAGCAAAATTATCGAAACATCACAATATTTGGTAAAATGAAAAAGGAAGCTGGCATTAGGAAGCTCATTTCATTTTTTTTTCCTTAACCATTTCTTTATATCATTTAATTTGTATTATCTAATAAAGATCCAATAATAATAACTGATAATATATATGATTATGATATCGTTTCCCTCTATGATCTAATTTGCCATGTTGTTCCAACAATAATAACTGGTAATATATTTATGTATGTATATATGATATGATGTGATATACCGTTTTCTTGTATCATCTGATTTGTCGGAAATACCAATAAAAATAACTGATAATATATGATATATCAAATTTGATCTAATATTATGCTATCATTATGTTGCAGTTAAGATTTCAGTGATAGAGCGGGAAAATAATTGATTACATTCAGCTTGAAATTGATCCAAAATCTAATTGTGACAGATCATAGAATGATGCTATCAAAATAATTTATTCCTTCACTAATTAATTTACATCATTTAACCCGATCAGTTTCTATATTCCTGAATCCAAACTAACCGTTAAATGATGAAAAAGCCAAGCTCTCATAATATTTGTCGCTGGCTTTGGAAAAATTCCACGCTTCTTTGTTAGCGACATCATTAATACCGATGATGTAGTAGTAGTAGTAGTAGTAGTGGCAGTGGTAGTGATTGTAGTGATGGTAACAGTTGTAGTATTACTACTAGTAATAGTAGTAGTAGTAGTAATAATATCCTGATTATCAATCGATAAAGATATGGGTTTTACTGTAGTGTCATGATTTTGATGTTGCTGCTGATGTCGTTTGGGCATACTGTCAGTACAGTAATCGTTAATAGTTCCGTTTGATAATTGCTGATGTTGACAGGATAAGGTAATAGAGGATGGATATGAATCCGAACTTTTGCTACCTGTAAACGTGTTTACCCGCGTACAAAACCAAAAAAAAAAAACAAACATGAAGCTTTTTAAGCAAAACCTTCGAATAAACAAGCAAACAAACAAACAAACAAGCAAACAAACCCGTTGTTTATCACATTATTAATCGTGCAAAATTATAATTAAAAAAAAAAACTTTCAATAATGCATAAAATAAAAGATGGCATTAGAAACAAAAGAAATGCAAGCAAAATTAATCATAAATTAAAAATATTTTAGTAAATTAAATTTTTTGAAATTTTGATAATTTTCATTTTCAACTGAAATATAAAATATAAAATACAAAAATGCAAAAATTTATTGTTGATATAAATGAAGTTGACAAAAATGATGCAAACAAAAAAGAACAGGCAAATATTTAAATTTTTTTTTTTGCAATATTAAGCAATAATTAAACTCTTACATTTTAATTAATTTTAATTATTGTTTTAATAATTTTATAATTTAAATGAATTTATATGAGTGACGAATAATTTTGAAAATATTTGTGAAACAAACAAAATAATAATAATTCACAATTTGCAGCCATAATATTAATTATACATAAACTTCCTTACATAAATAATATTTCACAAACTAAAGGAATGAAAATTAAAATGGATGTTGGATGCAGCGTAGCGTAGAAATTGTGTTTGTTATTTCGGATTAAACAATTTACAAATTAATTAATATATTTGGGTGCAAAAGAAAAAAAATTAAAATGATTAATATAGCATTTCGTGGTAAATTTGAAAATGAATATATCTTAATTTAAAGTTAATCAAGCATGAATTTCGAGAATTAATCCAATAGAGATTTTAGATGATAAATTTCTGTTTGATGAAGTGGAAATACTCGAAGAATCTAATAATTAATCAATTAACAAAGATTTTGCGGCAAACTATTTATTTATAAATTCTTAAAAATAATGAAGAAAAATCATAATTGAATTTTTGATAATTTATTTATTAAAAATAATCACGAAGAAAACGAAAATAGGCATTGTTACAGTAATTTATGCAAAAATAAACTTATAATTTTTAAATGAAAATTTTTAGTTTATATTATATTGTATAGTTTGTATTATATTATTTATGATTTAAATATTCATTGAAAGTAATTAAGTCTTTTGTTTTATACTTTCTAAAATTTTCAATTTTTCAAAAATTACTTTCAAATATAGACTGTCGCTAGTTTTTTTGTAATAGAAAATAATTGTAAAAGTTGAAATTATCAAAACAAAAGTAATTAGCACCAGAGAATCAACTTTTTGAAAATCATCGAAACAAGTTTTGAAAAATAATATTTTAAATTAAATAAAAATTTAAATTAACTAAATCAATATTTGCTAAATTTCAATGCAGCAGTATTAATATATATATACATACATATATTAATAGGATATTTATCGACTGCTGTATACTGAATATGTCAGATTTAGCCTAGGATATTTTCCGATCGCTGTATACTGAATGTGTCAGATTTAGCCTAGGATATTTATTGATTGCAAATAAATAAATCAGTTTTATAAAAGTATTTATTACAAGCTAAAATGAAAATTATGAAATTTTATACGGAATGAAAAAGTAGGAAAAAGTTGCAAGAATAAAAAACTATAACTTAATCAAAATCGAATTTAATCGTTGAAATGAAAGATTAATTTTCTTCCTCTATAGCTAATATAAATTGATAAATAATCGAAAAGAATTAAATTAAGTCAAATTTGCTAACTAATATTAGCTGATTAAATAAATTCCTTAAAATAGTTTTAAAAATTTAGAATAGACCTAAATAAAAATTTCTTTTCTTCTTTTCCTCAGCAGTAAACTATTAAGAAATAGTATTTCGAAATTAGATAGTCTAAAATTAACAAATCAATGAAATACCTGTATCAGAAATATTATCTTGTTGTTGGGCGGTAAGCAATTGATTCGGTGTTTCGACCGAATGTGGCGCTGAATCAAGTCGTTGACCACCCGCTGATGAACTAGAAATTTTAGGTTCCGTTCCAATTCTTTATTTTCTATTACATTTTAATAAATAATATTAATTCAATTAATTAGACCTGTTAGTAGTAATATTCAAATTTTATTTCTTGTTCTAACCTTTATTTTAAATTGTTTAATGAAATAAAATTTAAAAGCGATAAGTATTTTCTACTTTTTACTTCAATAGATAATAGTAAGATTAAAAAGTTTGAAATGTAAATGTAATAATTGAATTTACGTTTGAAAATTAGCTATAGCTAATTACTTAATTAGGCTCAATTATAATAATTAAATTAATGTTCATAAATTTCAATGTTTATTTGTTTATTTCAAATTTCCCTTTATTTTTAATTGAATTTATTTGCATTTGTATTTTCGGATTTATTGTCACATCTTTCCATATAAATCGAAAATATGATATACCTTCCTGAAGGACTACTAACGGCTGTTAGCGATATGGACGTTTGGGTGCCTCCAGCCGTCAGAGGGGGCACCCCGCCCAAGACTAAAGGGTGGCTATCGGGAGTTGTCGATGGATGTTGTTGAGCGGCGGCAACCGCAGCTGCAGCTGCGGATGATGATGAAGCACTGCTGAGATCGTGTACTGATGTATGATAACCCTGGAAAGAATCTCTAAATTAAAATTTACAGAATTATTGTACTGAAAGTTGAAATTTTTCATTTCCTAATTAAAGTTGGAATTTAAAAAAGAAAAGAAAATACTAAAATTAATTTACGGTAAAAAAACAAGAAATTACAGTAAAATTTGATATTTACCGTATTTGTACCGTAATTATTACAAACATATCGTTAAATAATATTTCTTAAACAATGCAGTAAATTAATTTAATTTAACTCATACTATTTATATGTAAATTTAAATGACTATTTAATTACTGTATAATTCATATTATTTATGATAATTAAACAATAACATTATCAATTTTAATTAACTGCAAAAAAATGCATAAATTTTATATAACATATCGAATACTAATAACTAATTACTTACATTATTGCTATTTCAATTAAGAATTATGGCAGTAATTAATTAATCATTCAAAATCATTTACATATATTTATTCATTCCTTTCTTGCTTTTTATTCCTATTCAATATTATCAATTTTATGCAAATTTTAAATTTCAATTTTACTACATTTCATGATATGATGCTATGAATCATTCAGTAAAAGGATAATTGAATGTGTTAATTGAAAAAAATTACAGAATTGATAAAAAAAAGCAGAATTGATTATTTAGTGAAGCAGAAGAATGAATGTGTTAGGATAATTAAGTAAATTAGAATAGGGATGATCGTTTGAAGAAGAAGATTTCATGAACAGATGTGCTATTATTTTATTCTGTAAGTGACGATAATGTGTCATCAGGTTGATTAAACTATTCCCCAAAATGATTTAGCAATTTCTTCATGCATAAAATCCATTTTACCGAAATGGTTTTTAAACAAAAAAAAAAAACTATACGAAAAGAATTTCTAATAAAAGAAAAAAATTTTTTCATTCATTTAATTTTAAATTAAAAATTTGAAAAATAATTTCGTACCTTTTTTTTACTTATTTTTAAATTTTTAAATTTTAATTTTCATTTTATTTCGTTCGTTTATGAATTTATTTTTTCATTTCCTTTTTTCTTCGTTTATTCGTTACTATAAAAAGAAATCAATAATTTGTATGCTTCATCATTGCTGTTTTTTTATTCGCAACTACAAAAAAGAAATCAATAATTCATATGCTTCATCATTACTATTCTTTTATTCGTTACTACAAAAAAAAACAATAATTCATATGCTTCATCATTACTATTCTTTTATTCGTTACTACAAAAAGAATCAATAATTCATATGCTTCATCATTGCTGTTCTTTTATTCGTTACTACAAAAAAAATCAATAATTCATATGCTTCATCATTACTATTCTTTTATTCGTTACTACAAAAAGAATCAATAATTCATATGCTTCATCATTGCTGTTCTTTTATTCGTTACTACAAAAAAAATCAATAATTCATATGCTTCATCATTACTATTCTTTTATTCGTTACTACAAAAAGAATCAATAATTCATATGCTTCATCATTACTATTCTTTTATTCGTTACTACAAAAAAAAATCAATAATTCATATGCTTCATCATTACTATTCTTTTATTCGTTACTACAAAAAGAATCAATAATTCATATGCTTCATCATTGTTATATGATAAATTTGAAAATTTCACAAAAAAAATTTTTTTTAATCTTTTTTTTAAAAAATTATTTTGACTGAAAAAGAATTCGATGTAATAATATTTATGTGTTGCGAAGGTTACCACTTTGTGCTCTTTTCTATGTATGCAGTAAATTAGAGATTGTAAAGAGGGTAAAATTGAAGTGTATCATTTTATACATGCATAATATTTATCGTCAAAATAAGCATTAATTTTTCATCGGAAAATTGGCATTTTATTCCGGTTACATTTATTTCATTCGATTCACGGATGGAATGCACAAAAAGCTAATTGAAATCATCTAAAATTAACCATCCCTCGATCATTCAGTCATCTCAATCACATAATCAATTCTTTTCTTAACTACTTATTTTTCCCTCATTTCCCTTCCTTCTCCCTCTCTCTCTCTCTCTCCCTATCTCTTACTCTTCTAAAAACATTAAAGAGCTTTTGGCCAAATATATATTTGTTCTGCTCCATTTACCTTGAAAATGGCCACTTGCAAGGCTATTTTTGATATACCTGATATCAAACATCATAATCCTCTTAAAATAACATTTCATATCGGTTTCTTCAAATGAATCTCTCTCTTTCTTTCTCTCTCCCTCTCTCTTCTCTCTCTCAAAGAAAAATTTGATTTTATCGAAATAAAATCATTCAATTTTCTTTTTATCTTTCTTTACTTTTTGCTTTCTCTCTCTCTCTCTCTCTCGTCCTCTCTCTCTTAAATTTAATTCAATTATGCAAAAATATTATTTATTAATTTTATTAATTATGCAAAATAAAATGTATTATTATTCTTTCGTTATCTTTTCCAGCTTTTCTTGATTTAAAATTAGCGTAATTTATCAAAGTTTACAATTTTTAATTCGTTAATTGTAATCAAATAAAACAAATAATAGATGTTATCTTATTTCTTTTTCGTTTTTTTCAATTTTTCTAACTTTTTTTTGCGCAATAAGAATGTATCATTCATAAATTATCATTTCTAATTTCATTAATAAATTATCATTTCTAATTTCATTAATAAATTATCATTTCTAATTTAATTAATAAATTATCATTTCTGATTTCATTAATTAATTATCATTTTCAATTTCATTAATAAATTATCATTTCTTTTATTATTTCAATTTCATTCATAAATTATCAATTCTAATTTCATTAATAAATTATTATTTCTTTCATTATTTTGATTTCATTCATAAATTATCATTTCTGATTTCTTTAATAAATTATCATTTCTTCTAATGTTTTGATTTCATTAATAAACTATCATTTCTAATTTCATTAATAAATTATCGCTTCTTTCATTATTTTAATTTCATTAATAAATTTAACATTTCCTTCATTATTTTAACATGATCCCTTTAATACTTTTATCAAAGCAAAAGAGAGAAAGAAAGAGCGAGAGAGAGAGTGAGAGAAAAAAACTTTTTCCTTCTTTTTTAAAATTGTTAAAATAATTTTTCTTTTGTTTTTTCGTTTCTGAAATTAATACCACACTAACGATAAATGGTTGATTTTCGTTTGTTAAGAGTAAAGTTTATAAAATGATCTATGCTTTCTTGCCATTTAGTCGGCCGTTATCACATTGATATAATCAATTCTCGGCTTATTTCTTTCTTCTCTCTCTTTCTACCAATTTTTAACCTTGCCTTCCCGCTTTATCACGAATTCTTTTTTTTTAATCCATTTCTTAATCACTCGAACAGTTGCTCTGATAATTTTAATAGGTTAAAGAAGAAGAAGAAAGGATAAGAAGAGAAATGAAACTAAACAGTTGTCAGTTTTTTCTTTTTTTCTTTTCCTCTCACAAATTGTATTTTAAAATAAATTCATTAACATTTAACATTTCACATTTATTTCCTTTTTCGACTAATAGTTAGTATAATTTAAAATTAATAAAACAAAAGAAAATTATTATGTATAATTTGAAATTAATAAAACAAAAGAAAATTTATATGTTTAAATTGAAATTTAAAAAGGAATATATAAATTTAAAATTTAAATGATTATAAAATCGTTTGATAAGATATTATGAAATTTTTAACAAAAATTTAAGATTTGATAATAATAATTTACTAAACTAATCACAAAATAATTAATAAACTATAAAATTTTTTCACGAATTACAAACTAGCTAATAAACTATAAAATCTTTTCTTGAGTAACAAGATAAAGGAAAAAATTTATGAGTGAATAATTTTAAGATTTGATTTTTGAAATATTAAATTTTCACTTCCTTTTTTTTCTTTTATTTAATTTTCAATTTTTTTCCTAAAATATAATTTTTTGAAATTTAATACTTTTCCTTTTTGTCTTTTCCGGTTTTCTATTCCGATCACTTGAACGAAATATTTGTAACAGAAATAACAGTAATGATAATATTTTGTAATGATAGTAAAGAGATGAATAGAAGACAACACGGAAAAATGAGGGAATTTGAAAGGAAGAGAAAGAGAGAGAGAGAAAAGATAAATGGATATGATTGGAATATGAAAATAAGGACATAAATCAAAAATGTAGAAAATATGAATAAAGGAGTAACTGAATTTTTTACCGGAATATTTTTCTATCTTTCGGAATATCTCTTTTCTTTCTCTCCCTCTCTCTGTCTTTTTCTCTCTCTCTCTTTCATTTTTTTTACCTGTCCTTTTTTAATTATTTAAAGACAAAAAGGGGAATAATTGGGTGTTACATGAATTATAAAATGAAATTAATGGAAGAATTTTTTTATATTTATATATGTTACCAAAATTTAAAATCTATCATAATACTTAAATAATGCTACTATTATGTAATTAAGATTAATTAAATTTAAGTTATAAAACTTAAAGTTTTAATCTTCTATTTGTTCTTTTTTCAGTACTAAACTTAATAATGTTAGTATCAAGAAGCACTCATTATTTAAGTTCTATGATATACTTTCTTCATTTCATTCTTTCTCCTCAATAATTAATTACGACAAAGAATGAAACTTAAATTATTAGTCCTCCTCTAATAATTAATTTTTTTTTAGTCCCGCTTTTAATATTTATTTTTATGTTTTTAGTAATTAATTAACATTAAAAAGCAAAACTTAAATTATTAGTCCCACCCTTTAACTAATTAATAATTGATAAAAGTGAAACTTAAATTAATTAGTCTTTTTTAGTAATTACTTTTCTCCTCAATAATTAATTAACGAAAAAGAATGAAACTTAAATCATTGGCCCTCTTCTAATAATTAATTTTTTTTAGTTCCTTTTTAGTGATTAACTTTTTGTTTTTAGTGATTAATTAACGACGAAAAGTAAAACTTAAATTATTAATTCTTTTTTACTATTAACTAATGATAAAAGTGAAACCTGGATTAATTAGTATTTTGTTGGTAATTAATTAACGATAGAAAATGAAACTGAGACTTTAATGCTTTTTTGAATTATTAGATTATTTTGTTGAAAAATTTGAGTATGATTTTAATTCAACAGACAAATAAAATACTTACATCATGTCCGGATGAAACTGCTGTCGTATTTTCGGGTAATGGCACAGATTGTGGCTCATAAGGAGTTGGCTGATATTGTGAACTAAAAGAATTTTTGATTACAATTGTTGAATAGCATATGTTGAAATTTAAATGCTAAGAATGCAAACTCATTTCAATTATATTATCCAGGTGAATTAAAAAAGAGTTTTTCAATTTCAAAATTTCATTTCATTCATATTCAAAAATTCATTCCATTCTCGATACTATTAAATTAGGTGAAGTAATAATTATACCCAATTGGTGTACTCATCGAGGGACTAGATGAAGGAGCAGCGGTACTAGGTGAAACAGGTGTTTGTGAACTGCTTGCACGTTCCTCACCAACAATATCCATTGGCATTTTACCTTTTAAACAGGTTACATACCGGTGACAAAAATTATCACATAATTCGTGTACCTAAAAAATTTCCAATATATTGTTAGTTAATTAATTAAATGATAGTTTTTGATAAAAAAAAAAGAGAAGATGAAAGTAAAAAAAAAGATTATCGAGAAGAGAGGATGATAAAAATGATGAAAAAATATATTAACAATTAATTAATTAATTGGAATTAAAAACAAAAAAAATAATAATAGATCATTTGATAAATATTACTAATTATAATTTCTTATTTCGAAAAATCAATAAAATATTGCTATATTTTAACATTCCATTGTTTAATAATTTAATTAACAAGTTTTTCATATTACAATTATCATTCATATATTATATTATTTGTAAAAATTATTCAACACTGATTTCTTCATTTTCAATTATTTAAAGTGATTTGAAATTTAAATGTAATTGTACGTGCGACTTTCAATATAACAAATATTTCCATTAATGTCGCAATTACAATTAATACATTCGTTGAAAATTTGTTGCTGTTGTTGTTGGTGTTGTTGTTGTTAAAATAAATTAGTTCAAAATCAATTTAGGAAAAAAATTTTTTTCTACCTGAATATCAATGATATTCTTTAAATCATTTTTTATCTTCAAATTAGCCATATTTTAAATTTGTTTGTTTGTTTATTTATTTATTTTGTCATCCTATGAGTTCCTTTCATTTTGTTTATATTTCGATTTCTTTTCATTTTCTACAATGATATATAAGCTGTGATGATTTTTCATCATTCAATCAATATTTTATAAATGGATTATTTATTATTTCTTTGAAATTTATTTTATTCATTTTAAAAATTATCAATAAATTATAACATCTAACAGCATTATAATATCATTCATATCATTCAAATTTATTCATTCATTTCAAAAATTATCAATTTATCATTAATGCTATCATCATTTTTTCTTTGGTTTTCTTTTGCAAAAAAATTGCTAATTGCTTACAGTTTCAAATTTCATTTCGCTTATGCTATTATTTGTCATTAATTATTATTATTTTAGCCAAATGAATTAATTGAAATGATTGAAAGAGTGAAACAATAGAGAAAAGAAAGAAAGAAAGGAAAAAGAAGACTCCAAAATTCCCTCTATCTTATTTAATTTTTCGTAAATTTCAATTAATTTAATTTTTTTTTTTTAAATTTCAAAAAGAATTTTTTTTTTAAAGTAAAACTTTTACTGACAGCTGTGCATATTATGTGTATTGTCTATAATTTCCTGTTTGTTCAATGATCTCCTCAATCATTCATTCACTCATTTATTTAATCAATCAATTCTATCGATCTAATTTTTCATCAATCCATCTGTCGACTATTTTATACAACCGTCTTATTTTATTGTGTTATTTAGGTATATATGTTTAGGCATACATATATATAATATATTATTGTCATATGTTATCATATAACTGTAATACTGGTATTTTGAAAAAGAAAAAGAAAAAAAAGGATAGAATTTTAAATTGACAGTATCACATCTATAATGAATAAAATGGAACGTTTAATTCAATTTCAATTTTTAAATATATTCAGTAAAATGCTTACAGCAGGAGGTCTCAATATCATAACATTTTCTTCGACAGGGTATTTTCTTTTTATTTTTTACAACACAGCATGAAATAACAAATTTGCCTCGATCATTTTCTTCTTCTTCTCCTTCTTTGTCGTAAAATGTAATATTTAAAGAGAAGAAAATATAGAATGGTAAAATTACGGAGAAAAAAAAAAATTAATTAACTAATTAAATATTTTGCTAAAAAAAATTTTAAAACAAAAAAATAATGTTTTCTTCCATTTTTTTTTTAAAAGTCTTTTATCATAAAGAAATTGTCGTAGAAATACATAATGTTCTGTCAATTATTCATGCGCAAAGACGAAATAAAACATATATAGTAATATGTAAATTTGAAATTAATAAGTTAATATATAATGGAATTAATAGATCAGCAATAATAATAATAATAATATTATGTAATTGGATTAGTAAATTAATATATAACTATAATAATATAATTAATTAGTATTATATATTGCACGGTATCCAAAAAAAAAGGAAAACAATACAATATAATCAATATATAATATATAATAAATTAATATGAAATGATAAATTTTTTTGAGTAGAAAAAATACAGTATATGAATGATAATTTAAATGATAAATGTTTTTGAATGGATGAATAGTATTATATAAATGATAATTTAAATGATAAACTCTATTTGAGTAATAGAATATTTATATAGATGATAATTGAAACTTTCAAAGGACAAAAATCACCCACAAAAAAATTTACAAAGTAAAATTAATGATGATATATGATAAAGAAGTATTCGATTATTCAATTACTACCTTCTTCTTTGGATGCATACATTACTTGATGAATTATTATTTAAAATAATCTAATAGCTATAAAATTTAGCATACTTATATTCAATAATTATATTTCTTTTACATACTTATATATATTAACTATTACTGCTTATATGTATTAATAGCATACTTATTTATTAACTATTAATACTTATATGTATTATTAGCATACTAATATATTAACTATTAATTTAATTTGTATTAATGCAAAAAAGATGATGAAAATCATTCTGTGATGTGAGTGTTAAATGAAATCAAAAATAACACAAAAAACTTCTAATATAATTTTTTAAATATTATAAGGGAAAATTTTTAGGTAAAGAAAAGAAAGAGAAGAAACTTAAGTTATAATAATTCATATGAATTTTATTGTTAGCCATATCACTATAATAATTATAAAATGATATTTTCCATAGTAATATTATATCAATTTATTATCTTATCATTTAATGCAATTTAATTTATCACAACAAAAAGAACAATCTTAATTCCTAATAATTATCAGTTATAATGCCAGCTATTTAGCTATCATTCCTTATTAAAATAATCAGCCTATTGTTAATTTACAAATCCAATTTTCATTCGGAAGATTATTGATAGTAATAAGATTTTAATGTGGAAAATTCAAATTGCAATACTACTATTGCATGAAAATTTTAACAAATAATACGGTATTCCTATATGCTAAAAATTAAATTTGAAATTTTAAATTCCAGATTTTGCAATCAATATCAGGAATGAATTAACGATTTATCATTTCAGACGAATTTAAAATCAATTATGTCCGTTCTTCTCTTTTGTCATTTTGTTGTTCCAATCATTCGCATCATACAACCACTATTAAAAGAGACAATTTAAATTAATTATGACAAATCTGATACACCTGTATGATTCTTAATGATGATGATACTGATAATAAATCGTAATTGTCATATAATTATCATAGTAATCATTGCTATAGTTTTTTTTTTGATGCTGTAGTAATAATAGATGTGATAATTGTAATTGTAGTAGTTGCTGTTGTTGCAGTAAATTTTGGCAGTAATCGTTATGGTTATTGTTGCAATAATTATCATCGTAGTATTACCAATCATTAACCGTAGTTAATAAGTAATTATTCAATAAACAGAGAGAGAGAGAGAGAAGGGAGAGAGAAGAAAGAGAAGAAAGAGAGAGCACAAAAGTGAAAGAAAAAATATTTTTTTAAAATCCAATTATAAGAAATTATAAAGGTAAGTATCAAAAACTAAATATTCCTTATAAATCAGATTTTTATATTCGAATTCATATAATAAATATAAATGCGGTAAAAATGCTTTAAGACATTTCAGATTCATGAAGTTGATTAAGTGTAATAATTATGCAAAAAATATGTTTGAAAATTATATCATTAAAATATATCGCTTTATCATTGATGATGATAATATATTATCATCATATCATTATCATATTAATAGTTTATGTAAATACAATTTACTAAAATTTATTTCTAACATTACTTATATCAAAAATGAATAGTTTATGCAATAAGTACAATTTATTAGTTAAATTTATTCCTAATATTACTTCTATTTAAAATGAATAGTTCATGTAATCAACACAATCTATTACTTAAATTCACTTCTGATATTAATTATACTTCAACGAATAGTTCATTTAATTAATTCAATTTATTACTTAAATTCATTTCTAATATTACTTCTATTTAAAATGAATAGTTCATGTAATCAGCACAATCTATTAATTAAATTCATTTCTGATATTACTTATATTTAAAATGAATAGTTCATGTGATTAGTACAATCTATTACTTAATTTCATTTCCAATATCAATTATATTTAAAATGAATAATTTAGAATGACGGAAAAATTAATTGAAATAATAGAATATTCAAAAATCAACAGTTATAAAAGATATTTAAAAAGAAAGAAGAAAATGTAAAATTAATATTTCTCTTTTAAAAAAATTGAAAAATATAAAAATGAACCTTTTCCAGCTCTAATAAATGGAAACGAAGGACTTGAATTGATTGCAACATCTATAATTGACAAATTTTTGTTATAAGAAAATTAATTTTTCAATTAATTCTAAATCGTTGTATATGTTTTACCTAATAATTTCTTATGATATATATCGTCTATTTTATATTTACTTCAAAATTTTAATATATCACTTTTGTTTCAAAAAATTTAATTTCAATTTTAACATTATTAACTAATTACTAGTTAAGATATGAAATATGAAACATACCAATGTGTCAACTTCAGGATTTGGCACATAATATGGCTTCTCACTTTGTACCTAAAAAGAAGTAAAGGAAAAAATAGTGAAGGAAATTTCAAAAAATTTTTGTTAGAATTATTATAGCAATGAAATCAAATTTCTCATGATACTGTAAACAATTTTTGGTAATTAAAAATGAAAATAATTAAAATCAATTTTCTTTATCAGTAAGCATAACAATATTCGTAATCAAAATGAATATAATAAAAAATTGAAATCAATTTTTCTTAAAATCAAATTAATGAGCAAAAAAGAGAGAGGAAAAATAGGAGAGAGAAAGAGAGAGAGAGAGAGTGATGAAATTTTGTTAAAACTAAATAATTTGATCAAAAAGTTTGATTGGTATAACAAATGTAAAAAAAAAGGAAGATGATGAAGACTTATCAATGGTTCAAGGTTATCATGGCGCAACTAACCATTTTGGCAAAATCGGCAAGGTCATCTTTAAATGAAACCGATGAGCAAACGTCATTTGTTGAGGATGTTGACGTTGAACTTGTCGTTGCTGAACTATTTTGATCTCGTGGTGTACACGTTGCTAACTCGCATTTCTCGAAAAGGCACGATAGTAATGGAAATAATGGATGACTGCAAAATGTATCAAAATTAGTTTTATTTATATTTTAAAACAAAAGACAAAAAAAAAAATTCAAATTTAAATTTCGGTTATAATTTTAAACATTTTAATTAACAATTTAATTATTTAATCTATTTATTATAAATTATAAATGTATAATAAGTAAACAATTACACAATATATATATAAGCAAAAAATTATCATTAAAAAATAATGCAAAAACAAAAGACTATTTACATCTTAATTTAATATTTAATTAATTAAGAAAAATTATTTTCTTCTATATATGTATGCGTGCATTTATGTTTCATTCAATTTTGTTCCGTTTTTTTCTTTTATCCTAAAATTCTGCTATATCTTCCCTTACCGTATCAACTCTAAAACATTCCGGATAATGCCGAATGTTAAAGAAATTAAAAGAAAAACGGTATTAGACACCATCTGATTTTCCTTCCAACAAAAATATTATTTGATAAGACATAAATATATTAGCAATGCTTGGCTTATTCACTTTATTAATGCTTCAAACAGATGGCACCTTCTTTCAATTACTAAAATATACGCAAAAGATACTGTATTCCGTGCTTTTTTTCTTCTCCCTCTCTTTCTAATTTCTCATATATCTCTCTCTTTTCCTCTAACTTTCATCTATTCTCTACATCTTTCTTTTGCAGAATAAAAATTTAAAATAAAATATGAAAATTTTAGAATTAAAGAGAAAAAGGAGAAGGAATATTCCATTGTTTAAATTAAATTAATTAATCTAAATAAATGAAAGAATTAAAGTTTACTTATAAATTGCTTCCTTATCCCGTTTCATTCGTTCATTGAGCGGATCAGCAAGCATTGTTGGTGGTGCGGTAGCAACCGGTGGATATGCTCCCATACCAAAATAACCCAATGAAACTGCTGCTGGATCAGCATTTGTTCCGGTATAAACATCTGATGCCGTGGGCGGTGGCCCGTAACCATCTCCATACTACAAAATAATGGCTAGTCATTAACGGAGACTTAAAAAATTCATTTATACTAGAAAAGAAAAAAATTGAATATTCTATTAATTTTGTAGTTATTTAATTTAACTCATTTCATAATTAAATTAAGTAAATCAATTTAAGTTGGTTAAACTTCGAAATTTTTAATTATTACATATAAAGCTATTTATACATTTATAATTATAAAGAGTATTAAAATTTTATTAATAATTCATAATTAAAGTTTACAAAATTATAAAAATCAATTATTTGAAATTTATCATCAAATAGCATTTCTTTAAAGATAGCAAATCGATAAGTGTAATGAAAATTTTTTGCAAAAATACTTCATTGGCAGTTATTCTGAAATTATCATCAATGTTACCGAAATATTTTTTCCGTAGAAAATTTATTGAAACAAAAGAAAGTAAAAGGAAGATCAATAATTTAAAATGTATTCCAACAAACATTTCCAATTAATTCATAGTTGGGATAAAAACTGTTTTGTTTAAATATTTCAATATAAATATTGATAATTTAAAAATTTTGCTTCTTTTAAAAATGATAAAATAATGATAAAATGATAAAGAATAAAATGATAAAATTTGTGTACATTAATCCATAGGTATATGTTTATCGAAAACTTTAACTAATGCAATTTTAGATTGAGCGATCAATAAAAGTTTTTGAGCCATTTAAAGATGACATAATCGTGGAATTTATTACTTCCACGTTGAACTTTTACTATATTTATTACTCATTCATATAAATTTATTACCGAAATATATGATCGAATATCATTAATGGACCCATTAAATACATTATGCATAAAAAAATCACATAAAAATGTTTGTAATAGATATAAATGTCTTTTTTGAATCATTTCTAATTATACATATAAATTATTTCATTGTGGAAAAATGATGATTGAGTTGTGAGAAGGTTGAAATTACAATTTCAATAATAAATATTAAAAATAAAGAAAAATTTTATTTTTAATAAAAAAATCAAAATTCATTAATTTAATTTCTAAAGATATAGGTATTCATTTGATTTTAATTTTAACCTAATATTTAGTATAATATTTGCAAATGATTGATGAGAGTTTAACTATAAATTTATGATACTAAGCATATTTTAGCTTATTGTGGTATATTTTATTTTCATATTTTTATTTTATTATATTATGGTATATATGTACGGAAGTATAGTAAAATTTGAATAAAACAAAAAATAATTATCATTAACAGTAATTGCAAAAAAAAAAAAAAAGACATGATATCTATGTAATTTATGCAAGTATAGTAAAATTTGAATAAAAACAAAAATAATTATCACTAACAGTATTTCGCATGAAGAAAAAGCCTGTAAAAAATTTGATAAATGATAAATAACAATTTTCGACGAAAAATAGACAAACTTGTAATTAATTGCATACTGTAATTTTCTATCTGAATGTATCAGAAAATTTCCAAGAGAGATTGAAATCATAAAATATTTTTTTTTTTGGCAAAATTTTCTTAAGAATGAAATTAACCGATGATGTGAATTGATTTTATTTGATAAAGAACCTTTTTCTATTTTTTTTTCCAAAAAATTAACCAGTTTTACACATTATAATGCTATCATCTAAATGTAAATTGTTGACAGCGTTTAAGAATGAATTGATTTGATTTCAAACTTCATCATAAATATTTCCTCTTCCTTTTTTTTTTTTTTTCCCTAAAAACGTGCAATTCGTTTTTTTTCGTGCTAATCGTAACAATTTCTTTTCAAATCGCAAAAAAAATTTTGAAAAGATAAAAGAAAGTGGAAAAAAAAAATAAATGAAATGGATTAATTTTTAATTTTTTGAAAAATTTCAACAACAACAACAAAAAAAAAAGAAGGAATGGTATCTGAAACTTCGTTTCGGCAAAAAATTTCCTCTTTTGTTTTTTTTCATTCATTCATTCCAAATTTTTTAATGAAATTAGTTGAAAAGTTAAAATATCAATGGAAAGAATGGAAAAGCGATGAAGAAAAAAAAAAAGAACAATTTTAGATTTTATTAATGAATTCATTAATTAGTTATTAAAAAATAAATTATTTAATTCCACCATTTTCTATTTTTCTGATATGAAATGATAAATGGTAAATATTAGTTTTTAACGAAAATTCATTAACTAGTTATTGAAAATAAATTATTTAATTTCATTTCCTATTTTTTTTTTGATATGAAATGATAGATAGTAAATATTAGTTTTTGTAATTAATTAATTAGTTAATTTTTAAAAATAAATTATTTAATTCCATTTCCTTTTTATTTTGATATAAAATGATAGATAGTAAATATTAGTTTTGATTAATGATTATTTAATTAATTTTCAAAAATAAATCATTTAATTCCATTTCCTATTTATTTTGATATAAAATGATAAATAGTAAATAAACCATTCTTTTCCTCTTTTCCATTCTTTCCTAAAAATTGACCAAAATTTTAATCAAAAATTGGAAATTTGAAAAACGTTAAATTTTTCGAAGAATTAGCTAAAAAGTCAGCTGTTCAAAGTTGGCAATTTTCTTTGTATAATAATATAATCGATTCATTTTACACAATCAATTTCTTTTTGGTCAAAAATTAAAATAAATATTTCATTTCTAAAATACGTTTTCTTTGTTTCAATCAAGAATTTTTAACATGAAATTTTGGTTATTAAAGAAGGAAAAAGTTACTGTAATTATTGCCAATCAATAATGACAGTAATCCAAGGTAGGAGAATCAATTTAAGAATCCAAGGTAGGAGAATGAATTTAAGAATCCAAGGTAGGAGAATGAATTTAAGAATCCAAGGTAGGAGAATCAATTTAAGAATCCAAGGTAGGAGAATCAACTTAAGATTTCAAGGTAGGGGAGCCAATTTAAGAATCCAAAGTAGGAGAATCAATTAAATGATTAATTTTATTAAAATAAAAGATTATAATAAAATAATAAAATTCAATAGAAAAGACGAATGCTTTAAATTTTTCATCGTTTTGTTTTTCATCTCAAATAGATTATTTGAAATATATATTATCAATAAAAATTTTACATATAAGAAAAACTATTAAAAGGCTGTCACTATTGATTATCGAAACTATCATATCAATAAGTGATAATTCGATTAACAATCATTTCTTTCTCTTTCGCTCTCTCGCTTCGCTACTCTGTCACTCTCTTCTTTTCACTTTCATCTATTCTCTGAATTATCAATTAAATTATCGAACTTTTACATTTCAACACTTCTCAATTACCCATAGGCAATTTTCTATCCTAATCAACCCACTGATTTCTTACTAATACGTTCAATCCCACTCCCACTCATTTAATAACTTTTATGTTTATTGATTTATTGATAATTAAGATTTAAGTAAATAATTATACAAGCATAATTTTTATCACTTTTAATATTATATTTAATTTTGAAATGGTTTTTTTTAATAGCGGAATCATTAAAAATTAATAATGGAAATATATAAATACGTATAATATACACCCACGTATCAAATTATTATTTAATTATGTTAATTAATTCATATATTATAATAACTACAAAATAAAAAAGCTAAAAATAAATAAAAAAAATTTCGATCTTCAAATTTTACACTAATTATACTTTTATCTTGTACCTCAAATGATAATATATTATTATTAATTTGAATGTATGAATTTAAACTTATCAATTACATATGAATATTAATCAATTATATGGAGAGAGTACTCTTAGCTATTAGATTTTGATTTCAATATAATCAAATCATTAATTCGATGCATTTATCATTTAATCAAAATTCTATACAGTTAATTGATATTCATATGCAATTAATAAGTTTAGAACAAAAGAAAACAAAGAAGAGATGAAAAGATATGATTTATTTATTATTATAAAATTTTCGAATTTCGAAGCATTTTTTATAAAAATTATCTTTTTGTTTTAACAAAATTAATTATCTTCTATAATTAAAACTTAAAATTTCCTTAAAATTTTCGTCAGAAAGAGAAATGAATGCTAATTGTCCATTAATTAAATAAAAGGAAAGAAAATAATTTGTGAATGAAAATTGAATACCTGTCATCGGTGAGTAGAAAAGAAATGTAATAATAAGTAAATGAAAAATTAGTAATATCAAAAAGTAATTAATCTTCTTATTCGCAAATATAAAATTTGCCTTTATTTTTTATAGTTATTAAAATATTTGAATAATTTAAAACGAATAATATTGATTATCATTTATTCGCTTATGGAATATTTAAATAGAATATTTGTAAATTTTATAATTTACAATAATAGAATAAATCGTAATTTTGTTGTGTTAAACGTGTAATTGCAAGATAACACTCAAAGATTAATTATCATTGTTATAATTATTGTTATTATCATTATTACTATTATCATTATTATTGCCATTATTGTTATCATTATTCATGTATTTCATGTTTTGCTCTTAGTTACTTCATTCATAACTACATTTTATCGTATAATGAATATTTACTAAATGGAATTCACCGATAAACAAAAATGCATTATAAATTATCAGAGCTATTGATTGATTGTTAAAAGCTAGCTAATGATTAATTGACAAAATTATTGATTGATTGATTGATAAAAGCTATATATATTACAAAATGTGGTAATAAAATATCATATGATTAGAAATATTTAATAAGAAGAACTTTCCGTAAGAAATTAATTCTTCATTTCCAATCGGTCAAAATTTCTAATTCTTTTTGATCCCATAAGTTTCATTCATATCAATTGATTTGGATAGATATCAAATGATTTTGATTTTTTCAATTTTGAAAATTGGTACTTTATTCATTATCTTTCAATTATTTTATACCATCTTTTTCTTTCTTTCCTAATATTATCATTTCTGAAAATTTGATATTTTTAAAGTTAAGAAGTGATAAACCAACAAATTTCAATTCCTACAATTATTTTAAATTTTTAAAAGGAACGAGAAGTTAGATTTTGTTTTTTTAAAATTAAAATTAGATTTTGAATTAAATTAAAATAAAAAAATTATATGCATTATTTATTGTAAAATTAATTAAAAAGAAGAAAGGGAAATAGTTAAAAGATTTAATGAGCTGAAATTCATGTTGTGAAAATAATCATTACGGAGATTTTCATTCAATTTTTAAAATTATCAATTACAATAAATAATTTATATAATTTACAAAAGCACCAATTTAATGTTTAATAAAAGTTAGCTGCGGATTAATTAAGAAAATTATTCATCGATTGATTGATAAAAGTTACTTATACATTACAAAATGATAAGTAAATATCAGGTGATAAATAAACATCATATGATTATCAAATAATTTGTGTAAAAAGAAAAAGGAAGGTGAAAAAATTCATCATGACGATGGATGTCGTGATAAGTGATAATGAAGGTTGACAAGTGCAGTAACTGATCGATAAGAGCACATTAATAGGAAGTGAGGGACAACAAGTTGGAACAATTTTATTGAGCATTATTTATTGTTTAATAAAAACATCCATTCTGTCAGTTGCGCAATTTTTTCATTCTATTCATTTGTTTTTCATTAATTATTATTGTCACCTGTCTGAATGAACAAAACATATTAAATGTTATGTGTTAAGAGAATAAAAATGGAAACAAATATTTGAATATAATTTATATGTTTGAATAATGAAATATATCATAT